TTTGAGGTTGTTATTTTTTGCCTTTTGCATTGGATTATTTTGGCATTACTTAGGGTTAGGGTTATTATGATTTTTGAGCAAACGAGTCACAGTTACAAGCTCGCTTGTGGTCTCCACAGCATTTTTTCAATGTTTCAGTCGCTATAACTCCCCTGCTTCCTGTATTATTATTTAAAGGTCCTTGAAATAAGGTAGATGCTTTTTATTTATCTCTGAGAAAGGAATGGTAATATTTTTAATATCAGTATACAGTGTATAACTCACCAGAATTAGTGTATTTTTCAAAATCTGACAGCATTCCTTAAGTAACTGAACACTTTATTTTATCTACGTTAGGGAGACCGAGATCGATGAGCTCAAGTCCCAGCTCTGCAGAATGAGGGAAGACTGGATTGAAGAGGAGTGTCACCGTGTGGAAGCTCAGCTGTCCCTCAAAGAGGCTCGCAAAGAGATCAAGCAGCTGCGTCAGGTGGTGGAAACCATGAAGAGCAGCCTGATGGAGAAAGACAAAGGTATCCAGAAGTACTTCATTGACATCAACATCCAAAACAGGAAGTTGGAGTCCCTGTTGCAAAACATGGAGCTCGCCCAAAGTGGTTCCACCCTCCAAGATGACAACACCTTAGACTTCATGTGCGACAGCCCTGATAGTGGTGGGAAGAAGATGGAGGAGGAGGAGGAGGTCGGACTGGAGCTCGGGGAACAAGGGGCAGAGGCGATGGCAGACAGTGGGCTGCTGGTGAACGATGAGATGGCCAACAGAGAGGACATTTTGGAGCAGGTCCTCATGTCCACTGCAGTGGATTTCAGTCAGGACTCGAGTATTACACTGATGCCAGAGTCTGGACCTGGGGTGTCTGCCATAACAGAAGAGGGACAGTTGATTGATGAGTCTGCTGCACCGCCACCAGATCTACCAAATACAGTTTCCACTGCGGTCACCTCAAGCGCACCTTCCCAGCAGTACACAGAAGATAAAGAAATCCAGACTGAAATAATGCCAATATCTTCAGACCTGCAGGCTCTGCTCCTCCAGCTGCTCAAGTTTCACGGAACAGCCGGGGACACAGCTCTGTCAGCCTCCACCAACCTTCTGGGCATCCCAAACCTACCCGCCTCCTCTTCTTCTTCCACTGCCAATTTCCCCGAATCCACACCTCTGGCACCCAGCATGCCAACACCTACCCCCCCAGAAAGCCCTGACACCTCCACCGACTCCGGCATGTGCTGCTCTGAACCTGCAGAGAGCCGCCGCTTCATGGAGGAGCTGGACTTTGTTGTGGGCGAGGAAGAACCTCTTATGTCACCAGGTCTGGATGTGGTCGGAAAGCGTTACTGGAGCAACAGCTTTTTTGTGGATCTGGTTACCGTGGCAGCCCCGGTTCTGCCAACTGTGGCCTGGCTTTACTCGCGGCACGGCGTGGACGGAAGCGCTCCGGTGTACAACATTGCTGCGCTTATCAGGGGCTGTTGCATCATGGGATTGCATTCTCTTCGTCAAGTCTCTCACAGGCCGGATGTGTAAAGGCTTCAACCACGCATGCACACGCCTAACTTTGAACTGAAAGCACTTACGCATTTTCTCGAGAGTATTTGCGAGATTTGTTGGTTTTTTTGTTGAACACTTGATGCAGTTATTTTTGGTTCCAACACTGTTTCTTTGCACTGTACACTCACCATGTGTTGAAGCGAAATGGTGACATGAAAGGGATTATTTTTAAGGGGTTATTTATTTATTTATTTATTTATCATTTCCATGTATAAGCTAATCATCTGGGTAGATGGTTAAGTGATATCATCGTCCTGTGGTGTCCCTAGTTGTCCCTGTGTTTGGAAAGCTAGGTGTTTATGTTAGAATGAGATTTGTTGGTGGAGAAAGATTGAATGTTAGTTACTGTTTGATGGGTTCTGAGAATTCAACTGTTTTTGAGTTATTGTTCAAAAGGAAACTTTAAACCTTCAGCCAAAGCTTTAATGTGAGTTCACTGTTTCTTGTTTTGTGAAAAAGTGTGTATATATATACATATATATTTTTGTTCCTCCCCAGGAGTAGAGCTTTATTCATTAAAGCCTGTGTATTTGTTCATAGAAATAAGTTGACGCGACACTTGTTATGTGCCTGAGCTATGTGCAATACTGTTGGTTTACATCAAATGTCCTTGTATCTTTACTAATAAAGCATGATAAAAAAATCTGTACCTCTGGTCTTTGGTTAGTTACAGGGGAAACAAATGGCTGAACTGGAAGAGTAGGTTAAAAAAAAAAGTTTGGCTTCTGTGAACTTACTAGGAAAGACAGGGCGGGACCGGGTTTATTCATTTGCACAAGATGTTCACATAAATTATTAAGAGGGGAAAATATGAATGCAAGTGCAACCGAGCAGTGTTCTCTTGACAGCTTGTGTTACGTAAAGCTTTCTTGGGCTGTATTTTCAGGCGTCCCTTGGGTTGTGGGACTGACAGCGGAAAGTGCATTAGATTCACTTTACTGGGATCTCACAGAAGCTGTAAAGTGCAGTCAGCATCCTTACACAAGAAAAAAAAAAACTGGGTGAATGCCAGAGCAAATGTTTGTCTACCCATGAAAACTATTAATATTTTCTTTAGTCGGTACATGATTAGCACCCATATTCAAAGGAAATGTAAGAAAAATGCACTTAACTCACACTCTAACTTCTCTACTTCGGTTACCATCTGTTGAAGTGTCAATTGCATAACTATGACCTCTCGCTTTAGAAGGCAACAGACTAATGATTCATCACATGCTCTAATCCCCACACTAGTCTTTGGATGCTGGATTAAATGAGTGGGCAGCAATGGATGGAAGTCAAACAGCTGCAAACACAAGAGTCTTGCGCAATCAGTAGTAGATTGTGAATCCCTTCAGGCCAGTTATTCGCCCTCACAGCTTGTTCCCTTTCTGAAGCCTAATGACGTACATTTTCCCTTTTTGAAAGTGGGCCAGTCTCTGGGAGGCTGTGGCAGGCAGGCAGTGTCCCCTGACAGATTGAGGTGACATTGTAGATGGTGTCAGACGAGTTATCATAGCCCATTGTCAGTCCAGGTTAAATGCCACCAGAACATTAGAATGTTAGGATAACAACAAGACGAGTGAGCATGCATGCAGGCTGTTCTGTAAGTAAAACATTGCTTTTAGCTAATGGCTAACATGCTGGAGATTAAAAAATACATTTTGCCCTGTTCACAATCAAAATTGTGCATGTTAGCATGGTATGCTAATAATTAATAAAAAGCTTCATAGCTAAAGCCAACAGGAATGTCAAAGGTTTGAAGGTGGTTGATCATTGATCAAGTATTGGACAAGGAACATTTTAACCCTAGAGAAAAAAGTCAGGATGAGGGGAACGTAACTCGATGTACACAAATCCCAAGGCAATCTGTTTTTAAGCTCTAAACATAATTCAAAGAAAAATATGACTTTGATGTGGGGGATAAGGAAGTCAGGTAAACACAATTTACACAAAGTTCATTCTCTGGGCACCATGAACATTTGAACCACATTTTATACAAATTGAGGTTTCTGTCTTGAAAAACAGTATTCATTGACCAACCACTACTGTCATCCCTAGAGAAACACCACCCACCATAGATAGTTTAGACTCATCAGTTGTACCAACCACAAAGTTAAAATATCTAATTATCTGTCAGGAATTATTCCTGTACCAGAAATCCTCAGTGTTTAAAGTTTCTCATCCGGCAGGTGACCCTAGACCTAAAGTTATTCACCTCTACATGTGTGATTTAAACAAGTTTATAAAAAACCTGCAGGACTTATACAGGAAAACAATCTTTCAAACCTTGTGTGTTCTTGAGCTTCTGGACTTTTTGGATTAGACTAAGACAGTTCCAATTCACTGAAATCTAACTCTCAATGATGAAGAGGTTATCTGTAATTCATTTTTGGGGAACTTGATAAAATGACAGAACAGAACATGCAGTTTATCTCAATGAAGAGGGTGGGATGAGTGCCTTTGTAAAGAATACACTAATCCATTTTTTGCCAACTCCTTCATTCATTAAGTCTTTAACTTGATCATGCGCGTATCAAGTTTAAAGAAAATAAGTTTAAAGAGAATCAGCACGTCAGTGAAAATGAATCATTTGATTTGGTATTAAATCCAGTATTTCTTTAGAATCATCAATGAACAAATCAGAAAAAAGATTAGAAATGTCTCCCCCATCTCCACCCAAGTCATGAACCAGACACCATAGACCTGACACCATACTGTATCATTTCTGTTCATTTTAATTTACAAGGACTTTTCTTCACTTGACAATGTTTCCATGACAACAGCTTGCCTATTCCCAATGTCACCTAATCCTCCAACAGTGGCTGGTAATATCAGTAAAATAATGCATAACAGAATGTTCTTTCAAAACCATTAACTTCAGCCGTTAGCCTTGTGTTTACAGAGATGAGAAAGAAGCAAGAATTTCATTTTCATCTCTGTATCAGCTTAGGCACCCTGTCTGAGACTACATTGCGATCATGATTCATATTTTATAAGGACTGCGCCTGTTCAGTGAGTGTATCAGTTATTTAAGAGCAAAGTAACCGTGCCCATGGAATAAAAAGAAGTCATTGGTGGGTTCTGGATAGTTTCTTTCTATATCAGAAGCAGACAAAGAAAAAGATGTAATGGCATATCTGTGGCCATGTGATTACCATAGGAACCCACAGCAAGCATTTATAGATGCTCAACACTCGAATCTGTGGTCACTAATACATACTAAGATTGAACATCTCCTGCCTTCATTTTAATGCTATTTTCCAGTGTACAACAGGCTGCACCGTACAGGGAGATCATGAAATATTACGCAACATTGATTAGAAAAAGAATAAAGATTTTAGACAATGCAAGACATAAAAATCAAATCAAAACAATTAAGCAAACCAAGACATCCCTGGCATACATTGATGCTTACAATGAGTTACACTCCTTTGTCATTAAAGTTCATAAATAAGACAAAGACAAGGAATTGTTTGCCCAAATTGTGTCTGAAAAGGTAGCACAGGTACCTGTTTATTTACAGATGTTACTGGGGGAAAACAAAAAAACAAAGTAGATCATTTTCCGTCGTAACCGTACAGTTTGAATCCACATGGCGTCTTTAAATGCTGCAGCTAAGATGAACCAGATAATATGAATACAGTTTTCCCCTGATGACAAGAATTACCCAGCAACATGAACCGATATTATCTCCTCTTTAGAATGATGCACGTTACACTGCTGCAGCTAGAAAACACATGAATGTGGCTGCTGGTGGAAAAAGGATGGAGAAACAGGAGAGTTTGCTTACAGATGAGTAGTGCCGGTGGTCATCCTGGTCGTTTTGATAACTTAAAAGACAGAATAACAAATTATTTAAAGTCTCTGCCCCCCTCCCCTTCATCTCTTCTGCTCAACACTGAGCATTTCTAAAGTGTTACGAGAGCTTGACTGCAATTTTTTGTTCCTTCTTCATCATCCTCTGAACCTCTTTCTCCATCTTCTTCCTTTGCTGCTCCATGGACCGCTTTTCTCTTTCAGCCATCTTCTGTTGTCTGGTAAATGAAGGCAAGACAAACATGGGAAAACAAGGCATGTCATTACAGTGCACATCAATGGAAGCTAGGACAGCAGGGTGTGGGGAAAACAAAAAAATCCTATTCCTTTCTCTTGTGTATTTATTTCATGGCTTACACTGCCACCTGCTGGTCAATTTTTGAACATACACTCCTCACATGGAAAAAAATTCACTTGCAGTATTCATCTCATACACAGTGAGCCTATAACATGCCTTCCATTGGAACAAGAGCAGATCTGAGATTGTGGGTGTTAAAATTATGTTAGATAACTAATTATGCTGCCTGTTTGGACAGTGATTTATGACACGCACGCACGTTCCCATAACAGTTCTATAACTGGTTGACAGGATTTTTCAGTTCTATATTCATCACTAATAATTCACCAAACTGGTACAGAAGCTAATCTAATTCATGTAATAAGGCATTGAAGCAATCTTTGAAACGTTACCTGAGCATCCCCTCCGCCTCCCAGGCAGCATCAGACTCGTCCTCCCAGGCGTTTGCGTCCTCCTGCCAGGTGTCCATTTCTCCCAGCTCAGCCTGTACAATGAGAGCGTTTACAATTCAGAAGGAAGGACTATGATTACAGCATTTCTATTGCAAGTGCTTTAATTTTAGAATTTGGGTTAAAACTAAGGATTGCTATTTGCACCCCTTTACCAATCACTCTTTTAGTAAATTATCCCTTCACTGCAAAGGCTGAAGTGATTACACAATCTAATGCGCAAACATGACTTAGTCTTTGCTTACCAGCTGTGTAGCATCTTAAGGCCCTTCTGCAACATGGATAACTAACCTCTCATCTGATAAAGGTTATGTAGAGGCTGGTCTTAACACACCTCAGGCCAGCTGTATGCTCCTCTCTGCAGTTTGCATTTCGACCGCACGTGGGTGTGGATGACACCTTCATATACAGTGGGTACGGAAAGACACTCATATTTAACTCACATGCTGTCCATTTCTTCTGATCCTCCTTGAGATGGTTCTGCTCCTTCATTGGAGTCCAGCTGTGTTTAATTAAACTGATTGGACTTGATTAGGAAAGGCACACACCTGTCTATATAAGACCTTACAGCTCACAGTGCATGTCAGAGCAAATGAGAATCATGAGGTCGAAGGAACTGCCCAAGGAGCTCAGAGACAGAATTGTGGCAAGGCACAGATCTGGCCAAGGTTACAAAAGAATTTCTGCAGCACTCAAGGTTCCTAAGAGCACAGTGGCCTCCATAATCCTTAAATGGAAGAAGTTTGGGACGACCAGAACTCTTCCTAGACCTGGCCGTCCAGCCAAACTGAGCAATCGTGGGAGAAGAGCCTTGGTGAGAGAGGTAAAGAAGAACCCAAAGATCACTGTGGCTGAGCTCCAGAGATGCAGTAGGGAGATGGGAGAAAGTTCCACAAAGTCAACTATCACTGCAGCCCTCCACCAGTCGGGGATTTATGGCAGAGTGGCCCGACGGAAGCCTCTCCTCAGTGCAAGACATATGAAAGCCTGCATAGAGTTTGCCAAAAAACACATGAAGGACTCCCAGACTATGAGAGAGAAGATTCTCTGGACTGATGAGACCAAGATTGAACTTTTTGGCTTTAATTCTAAGCGGTATGTGTGGTGAAAACCAGGCACTGCTCATCACCTGCCCAATACAATCCCAACAGTGAAACATGGTGGTGGCAGCATCATGCTATGGGGGTGTTTTTCAGCTGCAGGGACAGGACGACTGGTTGCAATTGAAGGAAAGATGAATGCGGCCAAGTACAGAGATATCCTGGAAGAAAACCTCTTCCAGAGAGCTCAGGACCTCAGACTGGGCCGAAGGTTCACCTTCCAACAAGACAATGACCCTAAGCACACAGCTAGAATAACAAAGGAGTGGCTTCGGAACAACTCTGTGACCATTCTTGACTGGCCCAGCCAGAGCCCTGACCTAAACCCAATTGAGCATCTCTGGAGAGACCTGAAAATGGCTGTCCACCAACGTTCATCATCCGACCTGACAGAACTGGAGAGGATCTGCAAGGAAGAATGGCAGAGGATCCCCAAATCCAGGTGTGAAAAACTTGTTGCATCATTCCCAAGAAGACTCATGGCTGTACTAGCTCAAAAGGGTGCTTCTACTCAATACTGAGCAAAGGGTCTGAATACTTATGACCATGTGATATTTCAGTTTTTCTGTTTTAATAAATTTGGAAAAATTTCTACATTTCTGTTTTTTTTCTGTCAAGATGGGGTGCTGAGTGTACATTAATGAGAAATAAAATAAACTTTCTTGATTTTAGCAAATGGCTGCAATGAAACAGAGTGAAAAATTTAAAGGGGTCTCAATACTTTCCGTACCCACTGTAGCTGCTGCAGAGAGCATACTCCTCCCTGGATAGAGCCAACACATCAGTGTGGATCATGTTCTTTGACTTCTCGAGCGTCTTTAATACCATCAAGCCCATGCTAGTGAGAGAGAAGCTGGAGGACATGCTGGTGCAAGCCCCCTTTGTCTCTTGGGTCATAGAATACCTCACAGGCAAGCCACAGTTTGTGAGGCTACAGCGCTGGGTGTCTGACTATCTGGTGAGTAATGTTGGAGTCCCGCATGGAACAGTCCTACCTCCTTTCCTCTTTACCATCTGCAGACCTGACTTCAAATACAACTCCAACTCATGTCATCTTAAAATATACTCTGATGAAACTTCCAAGCTATCGTTGGGTGTATTGAAGATGGACAGAAGGAGGAGTCTCAGGGCCTGGTGGAGAGGTCCATGAGGGTGTGTGGGGAGAATCACCAACAGCTGATTGTGAACAAGACAAAGGAGACTGTGGTAGACCTAAAAAGGAATAAATCCTCTCCTTTCCCTGTCTGCATTAGTGGGACTGACTTGTAGGTGTAAAACTGGATGACAAGCTGGATTGGTCCACCTAAACTTACACGATCAGTCTGTTGTTGTGAGCATCATGAATGAAACCTTTATTGCCCCTAGGGGAATTTGACTTGCACAGAGCATAAAAAACACAATACAAACAAAAATGTACAGGACAGCACATAAAAACACACTAAAGTATCACCTGATTAAATGAGGTATTTCAGCAAGTTAAATAAAGTGCAGAGTGCCGAGTTCGTCCTGTATAATCAGTTCTTATTAAGCAGCTGAATACTGTGTGGAACAATGGATGTAATGCCTCTTTTAGTCCTCATCGTGGACATTCTGTACCTGTGCCCTGAATTCAACAGTTCATACTCTGACCAAAGGGGGTGCAGAGGGTCAGCTGCGATCTGACCGGTCTGTCAGGAAAGAAATGCTGTACATTTGATTCCCAGTTATCTTGCTGCCTAGTTTAACAACATTGTCCAGTTTGTTCTAATTTTGTAAGGACAATGCTCCTCCCCAACACTAAATACAAAAGGTCAGCACACTTTCAATAAAAGTCTTGTAAAATAGTTTCAGCATATTGCTGTCAAGTTTCCTCAAAAAATAGAGGCGCTGTTGAGCCTTTGCATACCTTGCATTTGTGTTGGCGTTGCATGTCAGTTTGTTGTCAGTTAATGTGCCAAGATACTTTTAGTCTTGTACATCTTTGCTGTTGTGTACTGGTCAGTGGGCCCTGGGCACCAAAGTAAAATATGTAAACACACTGATCAAGAAGGCTGAGTCTGCATGTCAGGTTGGATAAGATGGTTGAGGCCAGAATACTGGCTAAACTGTTCTCAATAATGGACAAAGTCTCCCACCCTCATGTTTTGAAACATTACACGTATAGTTACCTAGTATGTGTCTTAATATTATCCTTACCATTTCTACTCTTACTCTGCAATCTTGTTTATTTCAATTTATGTACTTTCTGCAACTTACTGACCTCAGTTGTTTAGTATCTTTTAGCCTTTAGTGTGTTTTGTGTGCTACTTCCTTTAATGTAATGTCTAGTTTTTGCTGCTACAACAACACAATTTCCCTCCCGGGATTTAATAAAGTTATACTCTCTCTCTCTTTCAAATATCTATCAGCATGTCTATCTAAAATAAAGGTTAAAAGGTCATTCAGACAGTCAGTTCGCAAATGTTCATTCTGTATGAAAAGGTATTAAAACATTCCTGGAAGCGCTAAGGAAAGACAGTCCAAGGACAGACGAGGAGTTTACACATCATTCATCTTTACTCTTGGATAGTGTTAATCATAACTATCATCACACACTGGGAAAAGCAAGCAACACCTTCATTGTAAAGCTCAGTGTCCAATGCCAGCATAATGGAGGGCTTTAATAGCAGAGACTTTGTGTATAAGGAATAATTGATTGCATGTTTCCTGGAAAATGTTTATGTCTAGCTTTTTTCTAAGCCTCATTAAGTCTGATTGTATCATCTGTGTGGAATACCAGGATTTCCACATTTCTCTGGTCGCTTAAATTTGTAGATAACCTTTTGTTTTAAGTAAATTATCAGATACATTGGCCCGACAAGTATCCATGACAACAATAATAATCACAAGGCTAATTAATTTTACTTATTGAGAGTGTACATTCTTTATACAGTGAACATACACAACACAGGGATCCGTACTAATCGTCTGTATCAACCAGAGGTGGGACAAAGTCATTGCTTTGCAAGTCACAAGTAAGTCTCAAGTCTTTGGTCTCAAGTCCCAAGTCGAGTCAAAAGTCCTAACCTTTGAATTTCGAGTCCTAAACAAGTCATTAGCACTCTTCACCAAATGAAATGCCATTTTAACAGAGTAATAATTTGTTACAGTTACATAAATCACGATTGATTATATGATTTTATTCAGCCTACTTCTAAAATAACAGCACCAGTGTGACTGACTCTGTTTTGTTTATTTTTCCTAAATTCAGTTTTTTCCATTTTTATTTGACTGAATTCTGTGTTTGATGGTGTGTTCCATGAGATCAGATCACTGATTTGGGTCATTTTATCAGATCATGTCAGGAAATTGAGACATTTTTAAATATAAATTAACTTGCCTTTATTTATTTTCTAAAAGGTAGTATGCCTAGTGCCCAGGTCACCCTTGCTCCCCCTTTTTTTACAGTGTGTGTGAAGATGCTCCCAGACTACAGCAGGCTGTGAGATAACAGCCTACCAATTTTAATGTGCTGATTGTTGATAATTACAGTATGCAAACAAGCTGAGAGAGAACGGGGAAAAGTCCAAACAGCCGTTTGACCGGATTATGTACCTTCCCGAGCATAAAGACTTGGTCCATATTGACCGTAGCTATCAAGGTCCATACAGATCACGGACTGTGTTGCGCTAAAAGTAAATAGGTGCGTGCGATGGCTGGCGTTCCGTGTGTGTGTGTGTGTGTGTGTGTGTGTGTGTGTGTGTGCGTGTGTGCGTGTGTGCGTGTGTGCGTGTGTGCGTGTGTGCGTGTGTGCGTGTGTGCGTGTGTGCGTGTGTGCGTGTGTGCGTTGCAGGCGCGAGCTGACACAAACACACACACAGATGAGGAGCAGCAGCAAGAAGCTGCAGGTACACCAAACGTGCGTAAAACTCCTCATATATTTTATAAAAAACTCAAAGTCATGTGACTCGAGTCCACACCTCTGGTATCGACTGTTACTGCCCTCGCTTTAAGGGTATCCAATTAGATTTTTCTATTAAATATGTCTATCATTGACATTAATCAGGTTAATGTATTGCACTGTATTTTAATAAAGCTGCATTACATTGGGCACTACTGTCCAGAAGAAAACTCAGACAAAACTGATAAAGATTCTGGATGTGTGAGAAACAGAGAACCTGCCGGATGCTTCAGGTGGTATAAAAGTTCAGACTTACTGAAGGTGGACTGAAGGTCATCATATCCTGAGAGGCGGCCAATCTGCTGGAGAAACCTGCCGACCCATCAGCCACCGGGTAGTTCAAAGGCTCCCTCTTCTTCAGCACTATCTGCAACACGGAAACCACAGATTGTGTTTAACTAAGTCACTTTGTAAAACATTACAATACCAGTCTTGATATAAATGTATAACTGGACAGAATGCAAGAGAAACGTTGTGTTAGTTATTATGTAGGAACACTATTTTGTGCACTGTCATGCTCTCCTGCGTTAAGATTAGAATTATTTACACAGTGAACATAGAAAAAACTCAGTCAGTCACCTCAATTTCTTTAAACACTAGTCTGAAGATTCTGTTGGCTGACCTTTTATTCATTCTACATCACATTCAAATCAATCTTTAATGAACAGAATATTTGGTAGGGGTGCATTTAAATTAATTAATTAAATTAATTCATTAAATAATAATCGGTTACAGAAAAAATGTAATCGATAATTGTTTTGTAGTCCACATTTTTGTAAATGTTTCTTGTTGCATTGTGGGTTCTAGGATCGGCCTAATTCAAAACAGAAGAAAAGGAGCATGAGCGCAAAAAGAAAATAGATGACGAACAAAGCCCTGATAAAGGCTCTGTGCTGAAATGCGTCCGTTGTTGATCCGTACGCTGCTACCCTGACAAAAATATCCCTTTAATTAACCCCCTATGAACACAATGAACAAAAAGTCCCAAACAAACAAAATATGCAACATGATCTACGAAAGCTCAGTTCAAATTGTCTTTTTAATCCACAGAAAAAGAAGGACTTTCACTTCGCGATTACTGCTTTACTCCGCTAAACCAATGACGTTTGATCATCCAGGACAGAGCAGCATAACTCGATGTTTTCCTATATTTTGGAATTTTAGATGATTATTCTTTTAATAACTACAAAAAGGAACAACCTTATAGGGAGACAGAGCTCATAGCAGACGGACGAGTGAGATTGAGCGAGTGTGTCATTACGCACAGAGGAGAAAGATGAAACAGTTCACCTGTTCTATTGTAACTTCATTTACCAGAGAAAAGTGTGCTCTACACTGCAGACTGGAGTCTTTGTTAACACAATGTTGCTGTCAAAACAGCTTCAACGTGCCATGAGTGCGCACTGATGTCTGCACGTCCGCTCACCACACTCGCTGCTCTAATTATAATACAGTGTTAAAACGGTCAAAACACGTCTATGTGAATTTTTATTTGAGGTTTGCTGTCTGTTGATGTAAGAAATGTTATATTTGAATGTTAATACAAAGGCTTATTACTAACAATTATTAAAATCCCGAAGATTCAAATGAATCAATAGATACAGTCGGCATCGCGTCATAGTTGGGGGCGGGGCCTCCCGTGGGGGAAAAGAATCACAGAAAAAAAAGAACTACAAAACGATTACTCGAGTACTCGCTTTAACAATGGCAAGAGTAATCGATTAGAGAAAAATTTGCATTTCTGCACCCTATATATGGTGATACCTGCTGTACATCATAGCAGGTAATTCAAGTTTACCAACTACTTTTCTTTATTTTGCTAAACTGTCATCTGCCATTTTTTTTTTTTTTTATCTAGACATACATGAGAAATATATTACATCTTTGTGTGTACACCTTAACAGAGCATAACAAGCTGTGTCTACTTTTGTACAAACATGTTGTACAAGCAGAAGGACAATGCTGGCCAGGGTCTGTCAAAGACGCCTGAAAAAACAACAAGCGCTTACATTTACATCAGCTATGCATGTATGACTGTATTTACTGTTTCATGTCTAGAAACAGAAACCATGACGTTAGATTTTGTGAAGCAGTGGACTTGTGCACTGCAGCATTCCTTGACCAAAAGCTTGGATTAGCTCACAAAGTATCTGGGGCAACAAAATTGATGATGGACTGATGACATGTCTCAAAATCGGAGTCACCATAGCTTAAATATTCCCTGGTAGAAAACCGGAACTGTTATATATTTTAGCACATATTTGATAAGCTTGAGCATACACATGAGGAAGTTATGTTTTATTGATGTGGACATGTGGAGGGATGAAATGGACATTATGAAAAAGACTGCACACTTAACATTTATCTATCTAACATTTACCTCATGTCTGAGGACATGTTTAATAAACAAAGGACATTTTTAAACTATTAAACAGTGCCAGATATGTGACATGTAATAAAATGATATGTCCCAGATGTTTTATATTTCATGAATTGTGCATCTCCATGGTGATGCTAAATCAGCTGTACTGTCTGCAAACATACCTTCTGTGTTTTCCTGATGGTGGGAGCCATGTCTTTGAAGTAGTCCGGTTCGTCATCTTCCTCGTTGGGTGAAGGGGAAACATTTCCGTTTCCACCTTCGATCTTAATACTTGTAGGAGCATCTTCATCCCAAGAGCTCCATTCCTCAATCTCTGGCTGTGCAGATAACAAAATTAAATACAATTTACATGTGATAGAACAGCTTGTGAATACAACAACAGTAGCTACTACATGCAAGATTAAAATAATTATTACAACAGTTTTTTTCTTTTAAAGACATACCCTAAAATGATGTTAATGGGGGCAATACTGACCTGTTTTGGTACTGATGATGAAAAATCCACTGTTGTTGGGAGAGTAATTTGATCACCGCTGAGCTTGCGGCCCCTTCCAGTCCTACCAAGTAAGATCAGAACATGTCAAAAGGATCTATGTTGTAGAAAGCAGCAACTTACAGAACACTGTTATCAGACACTAAGGTCATGTATCTTTTATGTAGGGAGATTGATCCATCGTTAGTAAATACATTTCCTTGTAGCATTATAGCCAGTAAGGTTAAAAAAAAAAAAATAACTCCACTTTCCGGGAGCCCTGTTTAAAGGCAGTTCCACAAAACTGCCTTTAAACAGGAATCAACATAATTCTTTATAAGTAATAACAGCTATTTAGTGATGTTGATATTATTACGTGCATCCCATCCTTTTGTCATGTGTTTGTTAGTAATGTTGCATCGACAATACTGTTAATAAAGACAATAGTGTGTATTAGTGTTACTTGGCCTTCAGACTCACCTGCATATCAACCTTTTAAAGAAAGAGAGCAAGCTGGCTAGACATGTGCAGATCTTGAAAAGACGGAACTGAGTGATGGCCATGATGATTTTGGGCTATTGGGAAAGAAAGGAGAACATATTAGTATTAGGGTTTACAGTGATGTAAGAGTGGCTCTTGTTCTACTAAAGAGGATGTGAAACAAGTCCAGTCAAACCATCACCATTGTAATGCTATTTTGGACGTGTATAGTGTTTGCCAGTGTTGACATGTGGTGCAAATATTATAACTAAACAGCGATGATTTTATTCTATTGGTAGATTCGTCGCAATTTTCACCATGGAACAAAAACATCAAGCTAAGGTAAAACACAACCATTACTAATTGTAAATTAAAGAAACGCGTCTTTAATTATGGAAATTTGCATCCTAGTTATTACAGAAAGAGATTCTCACCTTGCAGTATGTCAATAGACCGTATGCAAAGCAGCTGCTGTCTTCTAGTATCCAGAAGAGAGAGGTTCATTTATTGGCTAACCGTTCCTTGCTAGCTTAGCTCACAGGAAATCATGATATATCTGAAACCCTTAAATGTATGGCCAGGACAACACATGTGCAGCTACAAAATATATCGTTGTCATGTCAAAACCAAGCATGTAACAGCTGTTCATCCCGATGAGGTTTCATGACCAAACTCCTTAATTTGTGTCGTCTCTCATCTCTGTCCCATGGCTGCCATCTTTGAACTGGGAGGAGCAGGAACAGGGAAGTAAAGCGTGGTACTGATGCATTCAGGTACCGTGGGAAATTGAGGCAGCTACTTCCATAAACTAATTCCTCCTTGTTGAACACATATGTCATAGCTATGTATTTCTGTGAAATCCACGCTATGAATTAACTACTTCAAGACATGCAAGTGGGAATGTGCATCAAAAACAACAGGCTTGGTGCATTTTTTAAGGTCACCCTGATGGATGTCCTTTATCCTGACATTTTTTACCCTCGTAAAAATGCTGAAATATTATACTCTATATAGGTGTGGGAAAACATAGTGCAGTGATAAAATTGCATAAATGAGAATGGTAGTGGAAGACGCAATAAGAGGCGAGGTTAACTCACAAAGAAAAACTCAACGGTACACCTAGTCTTTGGATACATTAAAAAACATTGTTGTTTGTCGATATTAAAAATTTAAACTAGGTAAAAACAATGCAAAATTGGAAATAACGCACTGAATTACTTTAAAACCAGTAGTTTCACATTTACGTGTCTGCGCTAAGTGTAATACGAGCCTTGTCGTCATCACAAACTAGCCAATCAGAAAACGACTAGGACGGAAGTGGGATATTTGAAATCTGGCAGTTGAAGTCGAGCCTTTTATTCTGTCGTATTCAAGAAAAGGGATTAATAACATCGGAAAATGGTGAGAGCTTGTGAATTTATTTATTGAATACGCCTCTATGTTGATGTAACCACAAACGAGTATGCGTTACCACGGGGGAACAACTTTGTCAAATGAGTTATCCTGAACAGCAGGGTACGCTTTCATGTCAGCTAGCTAAGTAAGCTAAGCTAACACTGATTGTAAACACGAAGGTGCAAATACTTTAGCGAAGTACAATTCATTTATGAAAAATATGCTCAGTTTATCTCCATAGCAGGTTTACATTACCCAATGATTAAAGACAGTTTATACGTGTAATAAGTAAATAGTACAGTCTCTGTGTTTACCACATCTTTGCTGTAAGCTCGTTTCCACATTACTTCTTACATACTGATGCACGTTGTCTTTCTTTCGATGCATTGGCGATCTTTGTTTATACATCCTTTCAAGAGATCACGCACAACCTCATCTTGATTTGATGCATCTGCCCTTCAATTTCAGATGGAGGAAGAGGAGCATACAGACAGAAAGCAGCAGCTGGCCATGCTTCATCAAAAGCTCAACAAAATTAAAAAGTATTTTAATGAAGGTAATTGCATGTCAGAAGTCACGTCACTATTAGATCAATGTAAGTCAAAGTCTATATACCCATGCTTCATGACACTATAATGACATCGGACTTCTTTTCAGATGACACAGACAATATCAACCAGGTTATTGGCTCCAACTCACCTGAATCATGTCATTCATATTTGATGGACCTGGAAAAGAAAGGGGACCCTCAGCTGGATCGTAACCACCTCACCAGACTCGTTGACTTCTATACCAGGGTGTTCTCCAATATGCCACTGGGGAATCATTGTCAGAATGAGAGCTATGCCAGGATGTTGGTCAGATTTGCAGAGCTAAATGCGTAAGTCACCAGACTTATCACTTCAATATCAAATACTTTTCATGTGCATGCCAAATTGAATCATGGGTGGTTTTTATTCTGATTTTTGTTTTAGAATCCAAGATGTGAATGAGGCAGAATCCAACTTCAATGTTGCAAGATCTCACAGCCAGAACTTTGCATTTGTTCACATTGCACATGCGCAGTTTGAACATTCTCAAGGTACAGAAATTTACTGTTTGGTATTTCTTTCACATCTGAGCTCTCATGATTTGTTATCTTGGTTATTTAAGTGTCTGCTTTTCATCTTACCAGGCAACACAAAAAGAGGCATTTACATATTGCAGAATGCCATTGAAGTGGGGGCCAGACCAAAGGAACTGCTAGAGGCGGCTTTGCAAAGCATGCAGACAGGAAAAACACAGCTTGTCTGTTTAGAGGATAAGGAAAACATATCACGTGAGTTTGTGTTTTTGTTGAATTTTTAGGGTAAATTCTTGACTGATGTAAACAAAAAAAACAAGAAGAATTTATTGTTACTGTCCCATCCTAAAATATAGTGTTGTGGCTTTTTCTTGTTTAATGTTTCCTGTTTTCACTCTTTCACTCTCAGATTTTTCAAACAGTTATGTGCACAGTTCTGTCAGAAAAGGCTCAGAGTCACAAAAAGTTAGCAGAATATCTGACGGGACGGGCGAGCTTCAGCTTTCTAGCGTTTTTGCTTCAGGGTAAGAAAGAACAACTTTTTTCGTGCATAAGAAGGCCTCTGTTTGATTTGAGGAATTGAACAAACTATGTTGATCCCTGCAGGACTGAGCCCTCTGTTGGATCATCAGATGACCAGCTACCATGCTGGAGATCTGGGTCCCAACGAAAGAGAGCAGTGGGCATGGTGAGGGATACGTTTTTCCTCCAAAAAAAAATCGAATAAAATTTGTATAAAATAATGTTTTGGGCTATAAAGTTTCTTTCTGATCTTTTGGGTTCCAGCCAGTGAGAGTTCCTATAGTGCCTTTCTCTATCCCGGAAAAGGATGATGATGAAGACTACATCCATGAGAGGTCCTCAACGAAAAGTGATGCTTCAGTTCACAGCAGTTTATCGAGGTAACATTCTGTCCTCAAACTAGTTTCAGTGTGTTTTGTGGCCAAATGTTTGTAAACTTTGTTGTTTAAATATTCCATTGTCATGTTGGAAAGAGTTGAAAAGCGGTTTTCACACACGTATCCCTAAAAATTTGAGGACAGCCCAACCCTGAAATCTTCCTGAGTAGTTTATTCACACATCATGTTTCTCACACTGTGTGGTTGTCCCTGTTGGATGGGAGGGAGCGGTGGACTCAGGAGGCAGGATGTGATGTGAAAAAGATTCTGCAGGAATCCAATATGTTGGCAAAGCAACAGAGTTCAACACAATACTGACAGTTTTTGCCTTTATATCAATGCTACGTGTAATTACACATATTACCAGTATCAACGAATGGGTGGAAAAGAACACACTGGAAACGAAGAGATTACTGCTTCATTAAAGTCCAAGCACTGGTGGCACATGATATAAGCTTATGTTGTCGCCCCCAAAGGCTCAGTCTGAGGGGAATTTTCCTTGATACATCCTGCTGTGTTCACACATCGTCTCACACTGACTTCACGCAGAAGTTTGACTAGCGAGCTGGCAGGAAAATGTCTAGGTAAAGTTAGGGTGAACAATTGAGCTGATTGCATTCACCAATGAAGTTCACCTGAAAAAAAAGTAAATTTTCAGGATTTTTGTGCATGTGTGAAACAGTTTAACAGTACTGAAGACACACGTGGTTAGCTTTATTTATGATATTAATCAAACAATTTGCAAAAGAGTTTTGATAATCATACAGTGCTGTGTTTTTAATGCTGAGATAGTGTCCCCCCTTTTGAAATGTATTTTGGAGCGCTGCTGTTTTTTATTTTATTTTGTTTTCTCATGACATTTTTCTGCTGAGAAACTACAGGGCATATATAGAATCATGATACTGGAGTAATGTGTGACTCTTTTAAAAAAATATATATTTCTGGGCCACTGTTGCCTTTTATTAGATAGGACAGCTGAAGAGAGACAGGAAATGTTGGGGGAGAAAGATGGGGATGACATGAAGCTAAATGCTGCGGACCTTCAGTCGCTGCGATGAGGACTATAGCCTCTGTACAAGGGGCATGCAACATAACCGCTAGGCCATGCAGCGCAGCTTATCGGTGAAGTATGTCCCTAAGAGCAGTGTTTCTATTGTGTTACAGTGTTTGCTTTTATTTAAGGAAAACAATTCAAATCGGCACGCACATCCGAGAAGGTTAAAATGCTGGACCAAAAAACATCAAAGATAGAAAGAAGTACTGAGTCCGCCCACCTTCTGGTATGTGGATTCAGTACTTCTTTCCATGTTTATATTTAGGGCCATAGTTTTTTTCTTTAGTGTATAATTGAGGTTCACTGTGAAGTGATATGTGTTATGGTGTTTTCACCTCCTTAGCTCTGCCTAAGCTCACTTTTTCCCAACAGTTTGGTTTTTATTTCATATACTTAGTAAAGCCCCGTAATGTGTGAATTTTGTGATTGGTGACATCGTCGTAGAATATACATTTCAATGAATTGAATAATGATATATGAGAAGGGTTTTTATAACTTGCTTGTGTTTTATTTTGTTTCAGGCAAACATCAGGTTCAAGCATGAACTCAGTATTTGGGCTGTCGTCCACAAAGAAAAATGTCGTCCATAGAGCTTTCCAAGTGAGTATGAATACGCTTCTGTTGTTGGGTATTATACAGAAACGCTCTTGTTTTTATTATCAGTGTAACATCTTTCTCTTCTGTGTTCTTAGCCACACGTTATCAGCCCAGAACATTGCTCTTGGGAGGACCAGGCAGCTGTGGACTCCACCACCACACTTCTTCACTCACATGACGCAAAGAACACCTTGAAAATGGAAGGTACTCTTAAACCTTGAAACAATGCTCCACTGAATACCTGCACTTTGTTAAATAGCCAATACGACTTTTGAGCCGAGTTAACTGTTGTGATGTCCTTGTTTTTATTTCTTTTTTCAAGCAGATGTTACGTACAGCTTTGACCAGGTGGTAAATACAAACTCCCCCGAGTCATTTTGGACATATCTGATGAACCTGGAGAAAAGAGGAAACCCTCACACAGACATCAACCTTCTTAATAAACTCAAGGACTGTTATTCCAAAATCTTCTCCAGGCTTCCAATAAGGCAGTTCAGCAAAAACGCCACCTATGCCAGAATACTAGTCAGATATGCAGAACTCAAAGGGTGAGTGTGTCTGCATTACAGTTTTGGGACTGTGTGGTGTTTGTGTTAAACTGCCTATCCAGTGGCATCCATGGTTAAAGGAGGGCCTTGTCTGAAAGTACTTTTGCAATTACTTTTAGAGGATCATCTTAATCGATGTGTGATCGATGATGTTTCCTAAAAAGATGAATTAGATGTTAAACACATGAAAAACTACTGTGAGCAGATTATGAAATAGACTGAAATGTACTCTGATGCATCTTCATAAAAAGACGACAAGCAAAAAATGCCTCTTTACTTTCTGTGTTTTATGTTACTATATTCAGTTTTATTAGTATTGAGTTTGAGTATTGAGTTGATTTGTTAAGGAGGGTAATCCAACTTTTTTATCATTGACAAAGTGAACCATTATACATCAATGTGAATGTTATCTCTGTAGAGTGAATCATGAAGAGGTGAATAATGAACTCCTTTCATGTCTAAAGTTTGTGTCTGCCTTTTCTTGTTCCATACATTTGAATTCTTTGCATACAGCTCTTCGTTAACATAAAAAAGACTAGGTGTCAGAATGTTCAGCTCAGTATTTGTTAAAAAAAATTCAAGGTGTACCCTAATTTCTTTCTTTTTCTTTTGAAGGATTGAAGACTGTGATGAAGCACAAGACCATTTTATAGTCGCCAGATCAAACTGTAAAGGTTTTGCCTTCGTCCACATAGCACATGCCCAGTTTGAGGTGTCCCAAGGTATGGCTTTGTTTGTTATTATTTTATATCATTATATATGGAATAGGCTGACACATACCAAATGCAAACATGTAATTCATATAAAATAATAATAATTTATACTTTATTAATTCCGCGAGGGGAAATTCGTTTTTACACTGTGTCTAGTAAACATGCTACACACATGCACAAACAGGATCCTATGGACATGACTGATGGAGAGGTCTCAGAGTGACGGCTCCTGAGCTGGTGGGGGGGGGGGTTAGGTGCCTTGCTCAAGGGCACCTCGGCAGTGCTCAGTAAGTGGACTGGCACCTCTCCAGCTACCTTGACTTGAACTTGAACCGGCAACCCTCCAATTCCCAACCCAAGTCCCTACAGACTGAGCTACTGCCGCCCCATATATGTTCATGTCCTACTTTTCTTACAACTCTAACGTTTGTTCAGTAATTGTATCGACTATGTTCTGAATAGTGTTTCCCTTTCTTTCTCTAATAAGGTAATGTGATCAAAGCCACTTCCATTCTGCACAAAGCTCAGGCATTGAATGCCAGGCCAGCAGAGCTCCTGGAGATGGCCATACGAAACCTAAAGGCTGGTTTAAAACAGCTTGTTCCTGCCAGAGAAGAAGAACACTCCACAGGTACGCAGTAGTCATCAAAGAGTCCTTCATGAAGCACGCACTAGGGCATGGTCAATGACATGTGTTTTGTGTTTTTTATTCAGATTTGCAAACATATGTTCCTGGAAGTTTGTCCACTTGTGTGAGACACCAGGAACCTCAGCTTCCTGCTCGGGTTCCTTTGAGCCAATCAGGTGAAAAGCTGAAACCTGTCAGCAAGGAGCCTGTAAGAGAGTGGAAGAAGCCAGCACTCGTCAACCGGCATGTTTCTCCAGAGGTCTGCTGGCACTTTTTAATCTGCTGTTAATCTTTGCAATGCATTAAGAGTACCTGTTTTAAAATGTCCTGAAATGAGCACGGGTACACAACCTGGACAGCTTTCATTATCGAGAAATCCCGGAGTGGGGTGGGGGGGTGTGGCAGCGGCCGGCCGGCCGCACAGTACAAGACAACTTTACATAGTGTGAGTGTGCCCTTATGTTTGCTGCTTCGCCCCCTTTTTCTGATTTTATATTGATTCTTAAAGATTATTACTGTATGTATTAAAATAATTCAGGGTTTTAATTCCACCAGATCAGGAATTTCAGTTGATCTGACCTTAATAAGTGACCCTTGTGAATTCTATATATCTGTAATAACTCGTGTTAAAGGGAGATAGTAAGCTGTTTAGTGAAAAAGGAGAATGTCCCAACATCTAAAGGGTTAAATGTTTAATGATACTGTACATTTCCAATCATCCATCCTGTTGAGCTTGAACTAAGCTTGTGTAGGTAGGTTCTTAGTAATCCAGGTCATGGTGAAAATTCAAAGCTTGATCCAAAGGCATCTGGACTAGTGAAATTTCTTCAAGGTCTTCAACCAGTCCCTGTGCCTTTTGATCAAGCTTCGGATTGAGCTCAACTTGTTTTTACATTTACATCAGTGAGTGGTTTAGCGCAGATATCATCTTCTAAATAACATCCAATTTATATAAATGCAATGCCAAAAGGCATATGTGCTGAATGTGTGAGAGGTTTTTCCTGCTTTTTGTCCGTTGCCAATCACATCTCTGATAATCTCGTATTTGAACAAGTTTCAGCTTTAGTTGCAAAACCTTAACAATCCTTAACAATTCCTTTCTAGGATAAACGCACCTCACCTCCTGACCCTAGAGCTGTTCCCTGTGTGCTGGAGTCTCTCCGTACTCCGTCCTACCATCTCCCATCCAGACTGAACCCTCCAACAGTCTGTCAGACACCCAACAGCTACAGAGATCACCTGCTAACAGGTATTCTCTTGACTTTGGACTATGCTGGTCTGGAACAGAATCCTCATTTATTTATCATCATTCACTCTGACTTCATCTCTCCCCTCCAGCTTTGTTACTCCTGTTGTGAAGAGAGGCCCTGAAGTGTCTTCCTCTGCAGTGGCAGCTCACAGAGCTGAACCCGTCCAGCAGCCATGTACACCACTAAACCAATCTGCTTCTTTTCACACTCCACAGGTACAGCACATTTAAGCAGTTTTTTTTTCTGCAATCTTATAAACATCTTAAGACCCCTTCTACATATTACATGTGTAATGTAGTTTGTAATAAACCCAAATCTGGGTTTATGTAATAAAGCTGGTGTTACTTAGAAGAAACAATTCCATAACAGTGTTAAGTAAAGTCAGGAAGTAGCTTATTGATATAAGAGTGTCCATACAGCACATCACCAGGTGAAGTAAATATTCTTATGTCCACAAGAGCACTGATAAGTTACAGCTGCTGAAATAGTTCACTGAAACTCAGTCACACACTAAGAACAATGCTGGGTCTCCTGTGTCCTACTGTGTGGGTGATCAGCTGATTTGAGCAGAGATGAATATATTATATTACTGGACATTTAGAATTTAACTTCTATTGTGGTATAAGATGCTCAAAGGCATCTTTTTTTTAATGACCTTCACAAGGAATCATTTTCAACTCATGCCAAACATTTCTTTAATCTCCTCGTAGGCTTCTTTTTCTGGGTTGTCAAATGAATCCATTACCATCAAGGGCAAGCAGTTCTTCATACTTAAGATGATTGGACGAGGTGGATCCAGCAAGGTAAAGTATGATCCAGCATTTTGTGCTTTCGTCATTTGTCATTCCACCTATTCCTTCTGATTTTGTTTTCTGTGTCTTTAAGGTCTACCAGGTCCTGGACCACAAAAAGCAGCTGTTTGCTGTGAAATATGTCGACCTCTTGGAAGCTGATTCTCAAACAATAGAGAGTTACAAAAACGAGATTGAACATCTGAACCACTTGCAGCAGTACAGCGATCAAATAATTAAGCTCTATGACTAGTAAGTAGTGTGCCTGTCGTTCAACGCGTCATGCAGAATCAACAGGATACACAGTGATGGTTGTATCTATGTGTTTTCAGTGAAATAACAAACAGCTACATCTACATGCTGATGGAGTGTGGAAACTTGGATCTGAACACTTGGTTGCGAAACCGCAAAGTTGTGAATCCGCTGGAGAGGAAGTTCTACTGGAAGAACATGCTGGAAGCCGTCCAGACCATCCACAAGCATGGTGATCTCTCACTACTGTCCTCTCAAGAGTCCATGTGTTGTTTTCTAAATGGCATAATAAAACCATCTGAAAGTGTCCCCATTATAAACATGTATACACATTCTTTAATCGTCTCATCAGGAATCATCCACAGCGACTTGAAGCCAGCAAACTTTGTCATAGTGAATGCTTCGCTCAAGTTGATCGACTTTGGCATCGCGAACAGAATCCAACCAGATGTAACGAGCATCATGAAGGATTCACAAGTAAGATTTGTGTGATTTACTTTCTTTCAGTGAATGAACACTTTGAGTATTTCATATGAGGAGTGTTAGCTTGCACCCATTGTTATCGGACTGAATTTAACTTCTCCTTTCATCATGCTCAGTGATGTGCATCATTAGAAATGGAACTCTGTGGAGGGACTAAAAAGATTTTGCTGCACACAAATGGTTTGATCAGATGATAGAGTGCTGTCCTTGTGTTTATACATGGTTGTTTGTTGAACACAGGTTGGAACCTTGAACTATATGCCCCCTGAAGCCATCAAAGACACCTCATCCCAGCATGGGAAGGCACGCTCAAAGGTATTTGGTGCAAGTCAATTCAAATAGCAAAACAATAATTTTTCAATTAAGCTATAAGGTAAAAATCTTACTTGTTTTTTTTTTCACTCCAAAGATCAGCCCTAAAGGGGACGTGTGGTCCCTTGGATGTATCCTGTACTGCATGACTTACAGGAAAACTCCGTTCCAGAGCATCACCAATCAGATTGCAAAGCTGCACGCCATCATCGACACATCTCATATGATTGAATTTCCTGACATCTCAGAGAAGGATCTGCTGGATGTGTTGAAGGTGAGAGGCCATGACTAAACTCTTAGTTTGACAGGAACACTTTTTTTTTTTCAAATAATAGCTTAATCAGTCACTTGTTGTATTGAATTTCACAACTTTTTAAGAGCTTGCATATTTTTTTATCGCTTAATAAAATGTTTAGGAAGAGATGGACATTCCAGACATTACATTTTTGTTTCCTTTTAATACCGGGGAATTATTACAGTCTGTATGTAAATAGCACACATTAAGACATAATGAACGGACATGAAGAGAATCATATTTGAAGTCAAAACATGCAGATTTTTTCAACAGTTGGATTTATCTTGCAATATGCTTCTCTTTTTTAAGTGTTGGCAAATTATTTTAAAACTGATTAACAAAATAAAAATATTTGAATAGAAACAATAGTTTATATAATAACTGTGTTTGGAAATATACAGGATACAGGCCACCAGATGGTCAGCTCTAGTGATTAGCTGTTCAGAGGCTGAAGTCGTGGGTGTGCACAACCGGCCATGGCCCTGTGCTGCATGTCATGCCCCGCCCTCTCCTCCCAACACTTCCTGTCTTTCTTCAGCTGTCCTATCTAATAATGGCAAAATGACACAAAAATATATTTAATAAAAAAAACATACAGGAAACTGAAGCCAGTGCTCCTGCTGAGTTTTGTGCTTAATTGTTGACAATGCAGTCATGATTCAACGTAAACTGAAGCTATAATATTTATTACAGAGAGGGTTTTGATTTGACTCAAACTGCGATGAATTTACGACTGCAGATTTATGAAAGAGACTTAACGTAAAATGTTTTTGATGATTTTGTTGTTCCAGAGGTGCTTGGTACGAAACCCCAGAGAGAGAATCTCCATCACTGAGCTGCTGGAGCATCCGTACCTGCAGCTCAAGCCTCAGCCATCACCTGAGTCAGGTATACAACACAAACACATGTTTATAGATACCAAGTCTGTGTAGCCTGAGGCCACCTCTGTTCCCCCTGCACCTCTGACATGTACACAATTCACCTGTTTCAGAACCTCAATGTAATAGTGATCTCCAGAGGATCCTGACAGACCTCGCAGCCCTTCAGTCTCCAGGCAGCATCGTCAGAGCTGCCAATGTAAGTGTACAAGATCTGATGATAAAACTCTTTCTCCATTCACAAGTTTATCAGCTAATAAACTTTACTTTATGTCTTTCACAGAATCTGGCAAAGATGTGCAGCAGTGGCAGGAAGTTGGATGTGGCTGAGTGTGCAAAGTCAAACTAACAATCCTGGAAAACTGTTTTTTTAGGATGTTCTTTTGCCCTTTACTTTTTGGACCCCTTTAATACACTTCCATTCAGTAACTGTATTTTCTTTCTTTAAGTTGTAGTTCTAAAATATCTTTATTTTTACCTTTGCTTCCTTGAAACCACTGTCTTTATATTGCCTTATTGTAACATATACCATCTGATAATAAATGTAGGCTAGTCAAACATCCTGTATCCTTGGGCGTTGTTGATTTATTTGTCAAAGTTGTTATACAAGTTGCTTTAAAGGGCCGGTTACAGAAAAGTTACACTTTTTGAAAGTTTCTTTTTAGTTTTCTCTGCGAGTGATGTGAAATATAAACAAGTAATGTCGGTTGTTTTGGCACTTCACAAAGCAGCCTCTGCACCAGAGTGTGAATGTGTTGAAAAAGTCCTTTGAGTAGTCAGAAGTATAGAAAAGGGCTAAACAAGTCCAAGTCCATTTATCAACAAACATTTGGATAAGAATCTTATTTAAGTCTTACCTTTGTGTCCTTAAGGTCACGTCAAAAAAAATAAAAAATGTTGTCCATTTGTCTAGAAGACATTCCTCAGAAATAAAGTCTCACTGTGAGCCTTCCCTGAATGACATCTCTAATATTTCTTACTATGACCTCATTCCAAGATCTTAGCTAAAAGAAGAGACTGTTGTTATCTCTCAGCTGTGTCTCCATGTAAAGGTCCAGTCTCACAGTTCAAGTTCTTTGAGCAGGCGTCTTAATCCCAGATCTTAGCTAAGACAAGTGTGACACAGTCAAAGTCCTTTAACATGTCTTTCATCTGTCTCATTTAAAGATGTGAGCTGGGAGACAAAAACAGACAAATGCAAGCTCTCAAATGAATCATCATATGTTCTAAAGACATAGAACTTAGACACCTAATGGACACCTATAAGCTCATCAAGCCTGATGAGCAAGAGCAACAACCAATGAACACAAGACATTAAATAAACAAAGATAAGACTGATAATAAAGATTATATTTTATATGTTAGTCTTGTGAAATTATCTTGAGGCAAACATGACACAAAGCCTAAACAAGACAAAGTCAAGTTATCATGTTGGATTTGAACGATGCTTTCATGATAGTATTTACGGGAAAAATATATCCCAAATATCATAGCCTATAACAATTAAGTAGAATGCCAATACAAACTACCAACAATAAATGGATTCAAATTAGCCTATCATGAATGCTTGCGTATTGCCTGTGGAAATAAATCACATCTGTAATCTAATGCCACCCTAACGGTCTGTTTACTGAATGATGAGTGGCTCAACTTGCATCTAAGTGAAATTGACACTGGCATCAGTAGATTTCAGTTTTTTTGTTTATTTCTGCTGTAAAAAAGAAAAGAAAAAGAAGTTTGCCAGCAGTCAGGTGTTTTTTCACTTTTATTAGACATCTAGCAACATTTTTACAAATAACCTACCAGTGTGTGTTGATAAGATGTTAAACTCTAAATCTAAGAACTTTTAGGTCATTGTGAATATCATACTGCAGCCTAAACACTGCACATCACCAGAAATGTAATGGAAGGGTCTGGTGCAATACTCATTTTCTTTCATATAAGCATGTTGAAAGCGTAGACTGTAAATACTTGCATTGTGAGCTCTGACTGAGTATCACGCACACCGCCCTCCTTTTTGACCAATCACATCCTTATCTGCACCGAGAGGCTGGCATGAATAGGGAAAACCGAGAGTTCCCACTCCGACACGTTTTTCGGTACCACAGAAAGCCAGTGTTCATTTCCCTTCCTGCTTCCCTTTTCTACAGTCTCTATCAAGATACATAGGCTTTCTCACCTGATGAAAACGTTTATTTTTATTTTTTTAAATAAATTGTTTTAATTCTTAGAATTTAAAACACGAAGACATACTATAACGTTACACTGATTTATCTTCCCCGTTGTAAAATATTACAACCAGTGCCGCAAAGAATACATCGTATAATACTTAATAAAACACTTGTATCGATTCTTCTAAGGCTCAAAATGTACTGAAAAAAAGCCAAATAAAACATAAATGTAACCCAGATGTCGGGCTTCACATCGCATAGCTATCAGTATATGATCCCGTCCGTGTCTTTCCACTGAGTGGTGATGTTTTCGTTTTAATAGACGATCTTCTAACTTTGATTCATCTTGCCCTTCCTGTCAGCCATAACAACAGTGATGGCGGCGGTTGCACGGTTTTTCATCCGAGGTGCACACTCCAAACTTTCAATCTCCCATGTTGGCACCGGGGCTCAGAGCTCTTTTGGGGCCACATTGCTCAAGACTTCGCCGGACTGCAGCTCCCGTACAAAAACACAACGAAGACATGCGGCGCACTTTACCTTCCAAGCTGACCCCGTCCCGACACAATACGGTGAGTTAGCCGGCTAACCTTAACGAACTTCACACGAAACACTGGAAAGTTAACATAGATTAGCTTTCAATGCGACGGGTTTTTGTGACCATCACGAACTGGCCTAGTGAGGAGGCATGGGACGTTTTGAATGATCTCTGTTAATTATTTTTTTCCCAAGGTTTGTCATTCAACACCAGTGTTAAGGGTGAACGCGTTTCAAATGAATATGTCAACCTGCTGTGTAGACATTCATCTTAGCATACAAATGACGTCATAAGGACACTGATTTTATTTGTTTTTTGAGTAAACTATTCGATGATTAGAAAGTGGACGCCTCCCACCTCTTTGAAAGTCATCTCTATGTGCATTTGAGGATACAGTTTCCACATCACACCTGTGTCAAGTTACATAATGGAACCAGTGCTAGAGGACTTGTGGGCCCTCTTTCTGCTACAGTGATGTCTGCATGAGACAGAACTGTGAACCTTGAAGCCTTTTAGACAGACCATGTATCTGTATGTCATGTTAACAGACTAAATGTGATCAGAAGTGGTCTCTAATCCAACGCGTACAGTTTGAGGCCCTATGGACCCCTGCTTGTTTTAGTTACAAAAACTTACTGTATATGGCAAGACAGCAAACTTTGACAAACTGTCACAGCCACATTTTTTGAGATTTGTAGACTAACTTTCCTTCAATTAGACATGGCAGATACATTGTCCCTGTGGGGAAATGTCCTTGACATGAATAATTCAGTCCGAGGAGTTAATCCCAGAAAACGCAGGGAAATAGCCAATTTTCCAAATTTTTAAGGTCAATTCTAAATTGCTGTACTTCCTGTTGGTTTTACAATATGGGTCCAAGAGGTCTTTTGGAGGTCCTGTTTCATATGCCTACCAAATTTGAAACTTCTAGGTTCAACGTAGGGCTGGGAAATATATCGAGTTTTTAAGATATATGGATATATTTTCAAACAAGATATAGAGTAAGACAATATCTTTAATATGGATATAGTTTATGTTGCATTAAAATAACGTTCTCGAGGTGCGCGGTCACCTTTTTCTCATCTCACTGATGATGACTGACTGTCTGTCCCTCTTAACCCTGCTCCTCCTCTCTCTCTCTCTTATTGTATTTAAGGAACATTTTTATTTTATTATATTACTTTTTAAATTCACAAACAGGTACTTTATTTCCCATGTGTTTTCACTGTTAATAAAATACATATCGATATATATCGAGTATCACCATTCAGCTAAACAATATTAGGATATGAGTTTTGGTCCATATCACCCAGCCCTAGGTCAACGTGGGGCTGAATTTTTTAAATGTTATTGGGGGCACCTCTGAGGCATTGAGCTATGCCCACTGACAAAACACAAACCAATTGTTTAATCTCTCCATTGACCTCATGTCTACCAAGTTTGGTGAATGTACAGCAGTTTCAAAAAACTTCCTGTTTCATGGCAAGAAATGCATCATCATGGACGCAGCTTTAGACAAAACCTATTCAGCTTCACTAAAATGATCACCACCAATCTGTGACCACAAACTGAAAAAAATAAGCAGGATATCCTTCACTTTGTAGGTATCATAGGCAATAATTTAGCAACACTACTTGATGTTGCCAGTAGGAGGCGCTGTGACTTAGATAAAAATGTTACAGCAGCCTGTGGTTCAGACACGCACTTCAATCAAGTACACACACTACACAATATAGATCAGATAGATGTTTTACAGCTCAGTCATAACTTCACTGTCAAAATCAGAATTTGCTGTGACGCCACAACCCTCTGATGAAATCTTACAGGTTCAGAGTATTGGCATGCTCACGTGTTCAGACATGGACTCAAACTAACCTTGAAAAATATTATATATAAAAATTGTGTGGGGCTATCACAAAGTCCTCTTTCATGGTTAGACAATCTTAGTTTTTATTAATATCTTTCTATATTGTGCATTTATTATCAAGTGTGATTTTTAGTTTTAATAAAGAGGACTTGGCTGTAGGACTCACAGAGCGCACAGAGCTGAATATCTTCATCGCCTGCACTTATTTAATGGTTAAATAAGTGAAGTGGGGCCATCTTCCAAACGATCATGAGGCCTAAATATCTTCTAAATAAGTCACAGTGCAGACAGAGTTTGCCACAACAAAATGTGACCAACAAGTAAAAGTTACTGTTGTTGATCCATCTTAATGTGTGTGAATGCAGCAACAACACAGCCAGTGACACTCTCTGACTTTTCTTTCGTTTGTGACCCTCCAGCTGTAGCAAACAAACAATATGGATTCTCTCACTTCCACTGCTTTCACAGGCACCTCCATCTCTGGGTCAGAAAGTTTATTTTCTTCTTCTATCTTCTGGTTGTTGCTGTGATCCAGCACTGGGAACCTTTTGATCTGCATGCTCGTTTGTTTACATTTTTTTGCATTGACCGGTTATGGTGGAATGTGGGCGTATAGAGGGTAGATTATGGGGGGGGGGGGTGACCCACGTGTGCACATTTATGTTATGGATGGTGATCTATAAAGGGAGCATTGCATGCAGATGTGTGTACGAACGGTTTTATAAATCTGAATTATTTTTGGCGCACGCCTTTTCAGAGTTTTGGCCACACACCACTTTCAGCATGGATTCTATGCACTGTTTAATAAATAAGACTCCTGGTCTTTTTTGAAAATTTCATAGGGTCGCTAGTCAGCCACTTCTTAAAATGAATCCACAAAACCAGCATGATATCATATTTTCACCAGACCTGCTGCACATGCCTTATTTGGTGAGTTTTCAGGTGTGCTCAGGTCCCCAACAATGCGATCATTTAGGCGGAAAGAAAGAATAATTCCTCTCATTCCAAAAGGGTCCTCGCTCAGAGGTCGGTGCTCGGGACTGAATAATGAAGTTCCAAACTAGTTGTGTTGTCACTGAAATCGTCTGCGACATGTTGTTGTTGTTGTGTGATTTCAGTTTACAACTTCACCCTGAAGCAGATCAACGCTGAAACAGAGCTTATACTGTATGTGAACAACTATAACTTCATTATTAAAAGTACAAACAACCAAAGTAAACAGTGCAGGAGGACGAGATCATTCCAATGTGACACATCATGGTTAACTCCAGCTCAAACCAAAATCTGTTTTAAAATGTTGATATGGCCATTACTGATGACCTCAAATACTTTGTCTTCTAGTTATAGTCTTCTACTATCTCTCACCCTACCATTAGGCAGCATGTTATCAATTACAATTACAATTACGTGCAGCATTGCATTGTACTTTATGCTGCTGGCTAAACGTTGTCTTGCTCGTCTTCTTTTCTGAAAACATTTTTTCTAATCATAAAACCTTTCAGGTCCTACCCAGAAGATGAACCTGTTCCAGTCAGTAACAAGTGCCTTGGATAACACCCTGGCCAGTGATCCAACAGCAGGTAGGTAACAGGAAATGGAAATGTATATCTTTTTTTATTAGATCTCTGTGAACAGGTCACCTTTTAAAAATATCTTCATCATCATATACGTTTTTCAAAGAGTCCATTGGCTTTAAAAGTTAAGAATAATATTTCACCCTGGAAATATTTAGAGAATAGATGTCACAAAGAGGGACTGGTTGTAAGAGTTTGAATCAGCCAGTTGGGAAGTCATGTTTCTTAAAGGTCCCATATTATGCTTTTTCTGGTTTTATATGCCCTTTATTGTGTTTTCCAAGTGTCCTGTGAATGTTTAGGCACATCTATGTGCAAAAATTCAAAGTCCGCGTAAACGCGGCTTCTCCTACCTCCTCCTGTTAGCTGTAGCATTAGCTGCATGTAACATTCGGTTCTAGCCCCCCTCGATAAAAATTTGTCAGTCCAACGTCATTGTCAGTGTGAGGTCACTGATCTAAGCCCATTGGCTTGCCACAACAAGGAGGCGCAGTACATGAAAACAGACACTTTTTTAGAACTTTAGCTATTGTGAACGTACAAAAGTAGGTACATAGATTAAATATAGGAAACCCAAAAAAGGGCAAAATATGGGCTCTTTAAGATTAGATCTGTAGATCTCTCACGTTACCAGTGGGCTCAACATATGGTGCCAACCAAAACCCTTATCCTGAGTCCTCCTTTGGATTGGTGAGACATGGTTGCATATTGATCAATCATTCCAAAACTCTAAACTAAACTCTGTCTCAGAGAACTATATGAGGAGTAGAAATGTAACTACTAGTAATGTTACAGGATTTGTCTTAGTCTAAGACAATCATGCCTCTGTAGAAAAGGTTCGAGATGGGTACAGTCTTTTTAACTTTCCTTGAAAAAGTAGAAAGTTAAATAATGATATCTTATTACCACTGACTATTTTGTGTCTTTATATGCAGTGATCTTTGGGGAAGACGTTGCCTTTGGTGGAGTATTTCGATGCACGGTCGGCCTGAGAGACAAATATGGTAAGCTCCTCCCCCTTTTGATTCTCTTTAATTAACAGCCTCTCCTGCTGAATTTGCTGTTTATCAAGAAAAGGTGTCAGTATATTGCTCTTCTTATGACAAGCACAATTCTGCCACTAGATGGCAGCACATGACTGTAAAGAATATTTTCAATTGCCTTTTTTACAATGTCATATTTGTGTTCACTGTTCACCCAGAGGACCAGAAGGATCTGTTGTGTCAGAGTAGCCTTAGAGCTGTTATCATCTGTCAGTTTACTTCAGAGTCTACAGTTTTGATTTGGTTATAATAAAGCATCTTTGTGATGTTTGATTACATTTTTGTTTCTGAGAATTTATCACACTGATGTTTTTAAAATCACATATCAGGGCCAGTCAAATATGCTTACAATGTGTTTATGACTGGAAGTAAATTGGCTCTTCATTACATATGACAGAAACGTATACTGCTCTGTTCTTAAAGCATTTTATTGGTCCATCAGGAAGCATTAAAATCAGGTATTAGCTTTTAACAGATACTGATCCACAGCAGACATTTCATCTCTCCATTGTAGGAGAGCACGGCCCATTAAGCTTTCATTATGTGACAGTGTGCCAGAATACACAATACCAGCACCTCCAATCTGAAGCAGCTAAATGGAATTCAACCATCTTTCATTGTATCTAACTGGAGCTTTTTCTAGTGGTTTCTAATGGAATGTGCAGGGCTGAACAATTCATTGAATTTAAATGGCGATCATGATTTTGGCCTTCCCATTATCAAAGAATCAAGATTGACGATTATTGTCGCCTGCTTCAGAAGAAAAAAATATTTAAAAAAAGACATGACCATATTCAAAAATTATGTTTGGTTATATATAATTGTTCTTTATGTATATTCTCTTATATTCACGACTTGAATCCGACTTTATCCCTTCACCTGTTTGGCTCGGCTCTTTTGATACATTTATCAGCAGTGATTTTAAAAAGTCATCCAAATAATTCAACAGGTGTGACAATCAAACATTTCCTTTTTTTTTATTTCTTCTGTCATAGTTAAGTAACTGTCATGAGTCACATCAAACGAGAGTTCATTTAAATCCTTCAAAATCAAAGTCAGATTTTGAATCCAAACAGGAAATAAAGAAGCCTCAGCTTAAGATGATTAAAAAAAGACAAAATAAAAGCACTGCAAAGACCAGTTAGAAAGATTTTCATTAGCCTTAACTGAGTTGCTCACAAAAGCAGCCGTATTAAGCCAAAATATTAAGTACTGTTTAATAAACAAGGATGAATAATGAACAGTAGATCTTCTTCTTTGACATATTCTTCAATACTTTGACTGAAGTATGAATATTGTGTATCAGTTGATGCATAGGGTGCCGCTGCTGTGTCATGTTGGGACAATTTTTAACGACCAGTGGGATTTTTTTTTTGTCCCAGTCCAGTCCAGCCCTGGCAATAGGTGTCATGCAGGATATATATGTTTTACAATATAATAAACAATACAAAGATCTCTGACTGAAATTAATAAGGTATTGTGATTCGTAATCACGATCTCAATGTTGATTCAAAAAAGAAAATGATAATTTTGCCAAAATAGTGCAGCCTCACTCAAAAATTCTTCCATAAAAGGAAACTTATGGGTGTTTAGCTTCTTCAGCAACACGGTTTGAAGTTTGAACCCGCAGAGAACAATGCATCTGCTGTTTATTACTTTAGTCATTTAAACTTGTTGTGGTATTAGTCAGCGAGGATTTGGCCTTTAGAAGAAGCTGGAAGGTCCACTTTGATTCTGTAGTTGACAGCCAGACAATAAACATGAATCACAATGAGAGCAGATAGAATAAAAAACATGGCAATAGCAGGAACTGTTTTTCATCTGAGATTGATGCTGTATTGATATGTTTGTGGTTTGAAGGAAATAAAGCCCAATGTGTCTCCAGATAAATTCAGGTCCTGTGAAAAGTCTTGATGCATTACAGAAGCATGCAGGGACAGCATTAATGTGTGTGTGTGTTGTATTTCGTTTTTATCATTGTATATAATACATACGTAAAAATACGTCAATTGTATATTAATAGTGATCGTATGTTTGTTTTTTAAGTTCATTTTAGTTGGTCTTGTACATTTCCAAGCAAGGAGTCTGAAATCAAACCTGCAGAAGCCAGCTTTTGTTTTTGTGTTTTCATTGACGTCAGAAGTGTTGACCTTTTGGAGAGGGATCATTATTTTCCATCTCATCCTTTTGTACAGTGATGATTGCTAAGCTGTTTGTAGCCCTCTCACTACTGAAAGGATGCTGCACACCTCTGCCACCTTCTGTTATCACACAGAACAGAGGTTAATGCAGGGTAGACTCACTGTGTGTGTGTGTGTGTGTGTGTGTGTGTGTGTGTGTGTGTGTGTGTGTGTGTGTGTGTGTGTGTGTGTGTGTGTGTGTGTGTGTGTGTGTGTGTGTGTGTGTGTGTGTGTGTGTGTGTGTGTGTGTGTGTGTGTGTGTGTGTGTGTGTGTGTGTGTGTGTGTGTGTGTGTGTGTGTGTGTGACTGAGGAACAACACAAGCATGCATCATATATTCACTTCATGTCCATGTGAAACAACTTCGTTGTAGTTTTCCTGTCACAACTTCACCAACTACTCATTGCTTTGAAAACACACTGACGTACGCCCTAAACTGTTATTTGTCACACATGTCACTTTCTCATGAAGCTGCGTGTTTGAAGTCTGCTTCACTCATAGCGGCAAAGCACTACATTTTGATCACTTATTGTTCATTTCCCGAAGGGGTTGTAGGGCTACGTTGGCTTCTTGAACTTTGTGAGCATGCAGAAGGGCACATAAGGGCATACTTTAATTTCAGAGATGCGCATTTCCCAGCATAAAAGAAAAAGACTGGATTGGCAAATACACAAGATGAGAGCAAAAATAACACACTCAACCCAAATATAGAGTCCCACTTTGGCAGCTCGCTTTCAAATTACAGGGTGGAGTGTGGAAAAAGAAAAAAAAAAAAGATCTTCAGTTTTTAGTCTTTGGGGGATGTGTAAGTACCACTGGTTTGGTTAGCGACAGCTGAGGAGGAGTCATCAGCTTGTCACTTCATTTATTTCTGGCCTGCATGGCATTTTAAGAGAGAGGATTCTTTGCAGTCTCATCACTCAAGTGTAGTATTTGGGCTTTACTCTGTTATCAGATCACTCTGTTATTCACATGACACCCTCTACAATTGTGGTCAGTGGTCTTAATTAAATAATGATATACACTGAGCTGTTCAGTGATCCATGCTATGATAGTTGCTGCAAAGTTGGAGACTGTAAAAGTCGTTGTGAACTTTTATTTTTGTGAAACTTAATTAAAAGTGAGCTGCATCTCCCAGTAGCTTCTTTTTGTGCCCTCTAATGGTACTTTGGTTTCTTATACTTTCTCTCCTCTCTTCTGCTCTCTTCCCAGGCAAGGACAGAGTCTTCAACACTCCTCTGTGTGAGCAGGGGATTGTGGGATTTGGTATTGGTGTAGCTGTTGCTGGTGCCACAGCCATTGCCGAGATCCAATTTGCTGACTACATCTATCCTGCATTTGACCAGGTAAGAAAGGCAGCAGCTAGGCATTCACTACGTGGTAATGTAAAAGAACATTGTGATGACGATGTAATGAGCAATGGTTAAACAAATATTCAAGGAGTTGATGATATGCATAACTGCAGTGCAAGTGTAGAGAAAATGTTCTGTAGGAGGCTTGATGGTATTAGGTCTAGAGAACAGGTGGTGGGCTGGAGTCTAGCATCCTGGGTCAGGGGGGAGAATGAGGTGAGTAAAGGCACACCAAGGAGATCGTCGGTCCTAGTTGGACCGTCGGTGAGCCATCGTTGCCCTAGTTTTTGCGGTGTGTCCGGCTCTGTCACTACCCATTTGCCCCTGTTGGCCATTTTTTGGCCCATTCGACATGTTCAATCGGCGGTCGGTGAGAGGAATCTCTCTGATTGGCTGTTCGGTGGTTCATTTATCTCCAGCTCTCGACACAAGTTCGACAAAGCCCCTTGAGCAGAGCATGCCGTTGACGTATCCATGCTTACACACATTATTGCTGTTTCTCCTTATTTGTCGACTCTGCCTCTTCTTTTTCCTCCAGAAGACCAAGGGCTGACACCAGCGCCATTTTCAACCTATTGAAGACATTATTCTTGATTAGTAAGCTACCTATAAAAAGAGTGGTGAGCAACAGCGGTGTGAAAATGGTCTTCTCGTATCATAACAACGAGCCGTTGGCTGTAGTCTTTGCCTCGCATTCTAGTGCAACTTTTTGGCAAAGACATGAGGCGACGCCACAGGCGGCTTTCGACGCCACTAGTTCTTTGACATTGCAGTCATAAACCTCCCTGTATATGTTAATAAGAGCGGTAACCATGATTGCATGATGATTTAAATGTTGAATTTTCTAGGACCAAATATTCCCAAATCCAAAGACATTCAGTTTACTTGTGTGGGGCTGAAAATAGTTTTTAACAGCAACACTCAAATACTTTTATTAGGGAAGCTTGAATCAGCCAACAATTTTTTTTTCTTCTTCTTAAAAAAGAGGCTCAATTCAGCCAATAAACTAGTTGAAGGTTCTGTCGCATGGCTGATCAGATAATTGACTGGTCGCTGCAGCTTTAGGGTCTATACTCTTGGTCTAACTAAACAGCCTCACAGAACCATGAGTGTTGACGCTGTGGAGACCAAAAGTTCCTAAATATGAAAAATGGGAAATCGAAAGTAATTTACAGTTTCAATGTTAATGTGTGTTTCAGGAGGAACCTTCCTTTAAGAGCTATATCATTTCCACTGGCACTCTGTGGGTGTATGGTTGAAGAGACAATAGTTGAATTAGAGTTCATTGACGTAACTCTTCAAATCTGCTTTTTGCATCAAAAATCCTTCCTTCACTGTCATAACCCCAGAACGCATAGACATCACACAGTATCTTATTATAGCCAGTGATAGCTGTTTTTCTTAAAGCTCAAGGAGAAACTTCTTTTCAAAGGTGCTCCTGAAGGCTTCAAGTTTCTCTCGGAACCATCAAATGCAAACCTTTTCTTCTGCATCACCAAAAGCATGTATCGTTAAAAATCAATCTGTCATAAATTAAATGTAAAGAAGAAAACATGGAATTACCCTTTTAAAACCCTTTTACATTCAATCCCTGTTACATTTTAGTCATCGGGCTGAGGAGTCTTGCTAATGACTGTTTGAATCTTTCTAGAATGTGAAAATAGAATGCAGAGAATGTGATTCATGTATTCTTTTAAAGATTATTTAACACCATTTTTGCTATACTTTACGTATCAAAAGACACTTCCACCGTTAATTATTGCGTAAAAATAAAACAGAATTCAGGTAACAAAAGGTTTGACACACTTGACTGTAATAAATGCACTTTTGATATCTATTGGAAAAGTGTGCTGCGTCCTTCATTGAGTACAGCACGCAGGGTCATATGTATCGCGTCACATCGCACACGATCGCACGCTGCCTGTCCACACTGCATCCGTTTAATATATAATTCTTTGCAAAAGGAAACCAAAATTCAACGAGAAAACAATATGACATCTAGTGCTTTTGTATTGGGTACAAACTGAAGTGTGGTGCTTTGTATTTAGGAGCTGTTGACTCAAATAAAAATACAGAGGTTCGTCAATAAACGGCTTGCCGTGAGCCCCAAAAATTGTTTCTCTGGTGTCTTTTCCACAAGTAAAAGCTCAAAATTTTAATCATGGATGTGGATATTATTAATTCATTACGACGGAGGATGAGGGCCATGTTAAAATTTTAATTTCGAGATTAAATTCCTAAATTTACGAGACTAAACTCGTAAATTTACGAGAATAATCTCGTAAATTAACGAGTTCGAGACCAGCCTGCGCAAAATGATGAAAGTAGAACTCTCAAAGTATTTTCCTCTGCAGACAGCTTCCTCCCAGTCAGTGTGGTTTATGTGTAGTTTAACATCTGCATAAGTAAAGCCCCAACACAACTATTAGTGTCTGTTATCGGTCTGCGTTGTAAAAGTGTCTCATGTGCAGAGACAGTTTGTGTCCTGTTCATCATTTTACAGATAAACAAGATCTTACAAGTTGATGTGAAAACTTCTCTTGAACTGTTTTTACCGACTACACAAGGAAGTAGCCTATTTCCTTATTAGTGAAACATTTAGGACTATGGAAGCGATTAGTGATCAAAATTAAAATGATAAAGCTAATTTGAAAATTCAAATGCATTAACAGAAATACTTTTTAAGTTTCAGAATATGAGTGTATTATTTGACTCAAAAATTAAATTTTGATTAATTAATCTAATTTGAATTTTAGTTTTCAACTTCAAAAATGCACATTCTTTGACTAAATTAAAATGAGGAAGAAAATGACATTTGCTTTATCATTTTCAAAAAATGCCCCGCTAAATCTGTATGATAATTCAAATGAAAAAGCTAATTTTAAAATGAAAATACAGTAACAGAAACACTTTTTAATTTTCAGAGTATAGGTGCATTATTTGACCTACATTTAAAATGAATATTCAGTCATCCAGTTTGCTTTATACTTTTACTCTATGGAAAATGTCATTTTCTTCCTCATTTTAATTTAGTCAAAGAATGTGCATTTTTGAAGTTGAAAACTAAAATTCAAATTAGATTAATTAATCATAATTTTAGAGTCAAATAATACACTCATATTCTGAAACTTAAAAAGCATTTCTGTTAATGCATTTGAATTTTCAAATTAGCTTTATCATTTTGATCACTAATCGCTTCCATATAGGACAAGATGCTCCATGTTTGTCATGTGAGAACAGGATGCTGCTGCTCTTCTGATATAGACTAAAATAACCACTTTATTCTTTAAGAGTTCTACTTTCATCATTTTCACGCAGGCTGGTCTCGAACTCGCTTTAATTCTTTTTTTTTTAGTTTATTCTTGTAAATTTATGACTTTAATCTTGTAAATTTACAACTTTTATCTTGTAAATGTACAACTTTAATCTCGTAAAATTTACGACTTTAATCTCAAAATTTCATTTAATTTATTTTTTACATGGCCCTAATCCTCCATCGTAATTCACTGATATCTTTGCGTTGTACAAAAAGCTAACAAGCTCTGTTGAGTGACAAAAAGCGAGTTGTTCTTCGTCCATCTATGCAAGTGACAGAGAGGAAAGAAGAAATGGGGCGTCAGGGTAAAAACGCTTTGCACTGCGTCATTGCGGGCAGTAAGGACACTCCAATAGGAAGCAATAGGTTCAGGGTGTTTTTGTTGCTGACACTCACTCACGTTGCGTGCTGTTAGGACAGGCTGTTGTAAACCACTATGAAATGCTGAAACGTGCATCGTCATTGCCACGAGTGCAGCCTCCACCATCACACACTGCACACGACCTGACCAAACTTGACGCAACAAAATTCATCCCCCTTCATTATGTTTTGCAAGCTGATTGCAAGTGGTGCCGGGATACATAGGGAATAAACCTTGTGATTCCATTGATTGAAAGAGTATTAATGTTGACGAGTGACAACTTTGCTGAACACAATAGACAGTTGAAACCATTTTTCCTTTTCATGGAAACTCCCCAAAATAGACTGCGTCTTACATACCGGTGCAATTTATAGCCTGGATTTTAAAGAACTTAACAGTCAGTGTTGTGCTTACAGTTATTATGACACTTTAAAGAAAGAAAATCAGTATCAGCCAAAAATCTGTCTGCAGGTCAGACCAGGTAAAACTAAAAAAAATTGCAATTGGGGCATCTCTACCATATTTATGTAAGAGTTTTGTATCCATGTGAATCTTCACATGTATCAGTTCTGACAAACTGCATTTGTTATACAGTTTTTATTAGAGTTGAAGTGGTGTCACATAAGATTCACTATGCACAGGAACCCTCCAGACAAAAGGAAGGAAAATCTGTTATTTTCTTTTGCTAGCCTGGCAGCAACAAATGTTTGTGAAGTTATTTATTTGTCTGACTTGTGTTCTGGTTTATTTGTGCAGCGTATTCCTCGTTTCATGCAGGTGTTTAACAAACAGACCTCCAATTGTCCATTTAATCATATTCCACAATCTAGCTTGGTAAAAAATAGATTAAACCAAACAAAGTCAAGAAGTGGAACAGACTGGGAAGTGGGCAGTGCTGCTGTGTTAGCATGCATACATGTTAACATTAGTGTCAGTTTGTGTACTTTCGCCCTCCGTATGATGAATGGGAGTCCTCTCTTTGTCAAGGTAATGTCAAACACAACATGTGACAATGGAAACAGTTTCTTAGAGGCTCCTGTTGTGGCGCTAAAAAAACAGTTTATTCAATCTGTTCTGAGCCTTGAGTCGGCTCATCTCTCTTCGTCTGTGCTCTCACTTAAAGTAATGCTGTCCAAACTGACCTTAGAGAGACATTAAAGCTGAATTAACTGCCCACCTGAGTGTCGGGGAGGAAAACTTGGGACACCTTTCTGGAGGAAGCCCACTCTGAGAAAACTGTAGAAGAAGTTAAAGAAACCAAACACTTGCGGTGAATGTGCTCGTTAAAAATAAAGTAGTGTTTTTAAAAGCATCAGGAGGAAAAGCAGAAAGAGAGTGGTGTCTCTCATGAAGCCGAAATCCAAAATCGGCTGGTGTGGTCTTAATCCAGGAAACAAAAGAAAGTACTCTGTTTTCAAGGATTCTTTTTGGCTTTATTAAAATCTTTTTTTATGAAACCAGAACACACATTGAAACCATAAAATGTTTTCAACAACTGTCATCAAGATGACTGATAACTTCTTGCTGTGCTAATCTTGAAATGTCTCTTTCGTCTCTTTCCAGATAGTCAATGAAGCAGCAAAGTACCGCTACCGTTCTGGCAACCTGTTCGACTGTGGCAACCTCACCATTCGAGCTCCGTGGGGGTGTGTCGGCCATGGATCACTTTACCACTCTCAAAGCCCCGAGGCCTTCTTCGCCCACTGCCCTGGCATCAAGGTCAGGAGTGGGGTTTATTACAGGACGTATGAAGGGCTTTATTGAATCATAGCGGGGGCTGCCGCTTTTAAAGTGTGATTGATTATATTTATCACAAGACTCCAGGTACATCATTACATCTCTTTTATTATCTCCTCTGCAGCAGTTACTATAAAACAATTCAGAAAAAGACTTTTCAAGTTTATAATTTCAGAATGGACACCCAACCCTAACCCTAACCCGTTTGAAGCAACTTAAATACAACCTGCACCAACCATTATTAGTTTAAATACTTTTTGATATGATTGTACATGAGACCATGTACAAAATCAACCTCCAAACTCAATTAATATACCACTGCAAACATGTTTTTCTCTTGCTCTACTATTTAAAGGTTTGTCTAGAATAAAATTAACATTTATTGTTTTAATGTAAGCAACTTTTCATGCAACTTCCAGATAAAATATTGTCATAATGTCACCCACAGTCATGTGAAAGACTGATGGAGAGCATGACAAGCTACATGAACGTTTTAATTAAAAATTATTAAAATATTTTATTTGGATGTTGAGAAAAATGTTATTCTACAATACAACAAATGTTCATTAGACTCAAACACAAACGTTGAACCAGAGAAAAACATAATTTTGCAGGGGTCTCCTATTTATTTTTTCCATAGCTGAACATTGAGAGGAAGTGCTTTGTACCAGATTTAGCTTCTAGCCAATTTACATTTTTGTGTGCATGCATAGTCCCCAAACACACACGGAATGGGGCAGTAATCCAGAAGAATGCCATACTTCTGAATATTAACTAAAGAGGACTAAAAGGTGAGATGTTGGAAAGATGACATGAGAGAGGAAGTGTGTATTCTTGTGTAACATCGAGGCTTAAATGAACCAGAATGTAAAGAAATGCTGCTCTGGTTGTGTCGCTGCATTGAGCATGATTTAACAGAGACTAGCTTAACTCACTATAAGACACTGTTTTATTCTGCGTCAGTGCAGTGACAACTGTTGAGTCATACAAATGGAGTGGTATATAAAAGTCATGCTTAACGATAAACACACAAGCTTCAGGCTTGTAAAAATGCAGCGGAGAGCTTGCTACTTTTAGTCCGTATGTGTGAAAAGGGCATGAAAGGAGAAAATGATTCTTTAAGACCACTGACATGGATTTAACAGCATGTGCTCAACATAAACAAGCCTATGTTAAAAAGTAAAGACTTAACCTCCCAACATACAATCATCATCTTCATCAACGGTTACTCACACCCCACAGACTGGGAATCACTGTGATGTGAGGCTACAGCTACAGCTTACAGCAATAAACAGGCTGAGCAAAGGTCAGGCTGATAAATGTTAATGTTTGTGTAAACTATCAGCGTTCGCTGTAAGCTCCATCTGAGGGTCAGTACAGACTCACAGCCTGAGTGGCTGCATTCAGGTTTGCCCCAGTGTTATCATGATACCCTAGTTCTGACCTGAATCAAAGAGATTACCCCGGTAAAGATGACAAAATAGAAATGCCATACAAAACAAAAAAAAAGTAGATGGGGTCTGTTTCTGTTTGTGCACCACTATCATGTATGTATAAATCTAAAAGTGTACATTAAAAAGAAGAACTTCACAAAATGAATTGTCAATGCATTGCAGTCAAGTTCAAATGCAGAGTTTCTCAGTACTTTTATTAAGCCTGAAGACAAAACGAGTCTGTTGTTCAGTCTTTGCAAACAGTCAGTACATTTACATGATGTTAGAAGAGTCTGTTTATTGTGTAAGAGGGACTAAAACTATACTTTTGAACTACATTTAAACATTAGTCCAACTGAAATAGCAAAAAGTCTAATTTCTCATAGTCGCGCTTAAGCTGTTTTCACATAATGCACTCCTGAAAATGTCTAGATCATTTCAGAGATCGTAGCGGTTGCATGCGCACAGTCTACACACTGACTCCAGTCACATGATACGAACGTCACCACCCTCTACCATTTACTTGAGGTGAATTCTCTTGATTGTATCCTGCTGCAGTAAAAATCCTAGGGGGCTGGCAAAAGAACCGCTCCACAGCTCTGAAAGCCATCTTTTGACCCAGAAGTCAAAAAAGCACAAATGTGTAGAAGAAAGCCGGGCAGAAAACAAGACGAAGGAAGCGAGTGCTGGAACAAGAACCCTGCATTATGAACAGACACGGGGACAAAGTTTTGTTGTTTCAGCTCAAGGAGTTAAACATATGGAAGTACAGGAATTTGACAAATTGGCATAAGACATACAGTAATACAGTAGGTCAAGTGGAAGAGGGTCCAATAGTAAGAGGCTAAATGGGAGCATATTGCCACCTACCTTAGCAGAGTCAGACATATTTCCATCAATGACCATTCTCCCCTGGTGCTTTTATACTGGAACAAGGGCAGGAGTCCTTTTAAACAGCCTAATCGATCTCTACCTGTAGTTCTAGTTTGACTTAACTGTACATGTAAACATACATGTAAAAGGAATAGGATCCAGTTTAAGGCATGCTGGTCGGTTTGATCCCTTACTATGACACAAGGATGAAACATGATATGTTGAGGAATGTGTAATTAAACATGATTCCAGTCCTTTAAGCAATAATCAAATGAAGGTTGTTCAAACATCATCGTGACTGGGTCTCATAAGGTGTGTCATGTTTTCCTCAGGTTGTGGTACCTCGTAGTCCAGTACAGGCTAAGGGACTGCTCCTCTCCTGCATTGCAGACCCAAACCCCTGCATATTCTTCGAACCCAAGATCCTGTACCGAGCAGCAGGTGAGCTGGATTCTAAATACATCTGAAGTCTGTTTGTACCTGATCGTTAGGGTGACGACTCGTTTGTCAGAGCCTCAGCCTTCATTGGCTACAAGAGATGCCAGTCATCGGCACAGTCGAGTGCAATTGTCCGTCAGAACAGGGAGATGCACCTCCTTCAACAAAGGCTCTCATTGGATGTTATGAAGTGTCATTAAAAGGTCGTCAGAATAGTGGATCATAGTGGATTAAAAATGGTATTTATCGTGGGGGACCCTTTTTGGTGGATTGTTATGATCAGGAGAGTTCAGTAAATCTTCAAACGGTAAGTCAAAAGACGCTGCTTGTTGGTGGTCTGACCCGCCCACACCGGGCCGTCAGTCTGTATTGGACATCGTTATAAGGTCACATTAATGCGGACTTATTGAGTGAGAAAAAAAGGATAGATCAAGTCCTATCATAAAATCAATTATTATTCAAAGCCTAGAAGACAAATAGTTTAATGATGTGGTTAACTTCAATGAGAATATGGATCAGTAACTGTCAGTCGACTATAGGCGAAATCTGACCAATCAGGTTTGATTATAACTATTAGTAGACCTATCATCATCTCCTGATTTTTCAGTCACCCTCTGATGTTCAACCTCCTCCAACATCTCGCCTCGCTGGCTCTCATTCTGGTCGCCTGCTTTCTTTATTGGAAGCAAATGTTCTCCCTTTGGAGAAGTCGTGCAAAACAAACAAACAATGTTCCTCACAACAAGATGTGATCAGCAGGACCTTCTGAATGGGCTGTGAAGTGTTGACACAGTGCTGATCTGAATCCTCTCTCCTTCCCCTCACTGTGCAGAGGCAGGGTTGGTGTGTGGGGAAGCTTGATTACACTCCATGCTGGCATGGCTTTGTGCAGGCTGCTTTGCCAAGGTGTCAAACCTTGTTGTAAATAAACGCTCCAACATATGTTGGCGGCTGTTGCAGAACAGTTCTGCCTTAGCTACATAAAATAATGTCCATGATGAAAATGGAGTTGGAAGTTTGAATACGATGTTGAGGCTCATTAAAGGAATGAAAGACAGACCGTTAACAGATTTGGTACTACCCGGCCGTGCCTTGGATTTTCACAAGGTTTGTTAGTTTCCAGCTTTGATAAGAGCCAGATGAGATTGTGAAATATTAGCGCTAAGAATGTTTCCATTATGGCTCTACGTTAGTGATCACTGTCCAGTACGTTTCTCATGTTGCAGTTCCGTCTGATATTAAAACCAGTCATTGGCACTAAGGGAGGTCCTCCATTCCTCATATCTTATGAAGTCTTTTTCTTTGAAGGGTAACAAAAAAAAACTTGAACATATGGTCAAAGTGGATTTAATTCATAACGGACAAATATGACAAATTTACCAGCCAGCCAACTTCTTGATGATGTCAGCATATTTGTGTTATAGTTCTTGAAAAGTAGTTAAGAGGTAGTAATAAGTAAAATGTATTTAATGCTTTGAGTTGAAGATGGCAGTCAAAATCTACGACATTCACTTTTCATGTTTTCTTTTGATGTTCTAGTTAGTTTTATCTGTTTGAAATAAAGATATCAATAAATCACTTTGTTAGTACATGAGTTGGCTTTCTAACAGGATAACACATTCATATAGTGAAGATGTTTTTAAACTGTCTGCAATTCATTTCTACTCTGAGCAGGACGTTTTAGACCTCCAGAGGTGGTTAAATCTAATTGAACCACTCGACATAGCTGATACACTATAATAGCTTTCATTGCTTAACTGAATACAAGAAGTTGCACAGATTTACTCCTGCTTTTTAAGTGCTGGTGTGACCAATCCGGTAGACTTTGTCACAGCTGTGTTAACGTTGCTGCAACAGCGTTAGTGGACAAAACAAGTTTCAAACCTAAATTCAATATATTCCTTTAAAAGTATGTTTCAGCTTCAAACTGATATGGATGAAGGGGATTTTGAAGGTCTCTATGAGCAGCAATGTAGCGACAAGCAGTTGAGGCTGATGGATGAACAGGAGCCGCAGCAGCCGAGGCACCAGACCCACTGTGCATTCTGGGATTTGGTGTCTTTCATCCACACGAGCCAAAAAGACACTTTCTGCCTTTTCTCGGTCAAGAAGGCACCAACTTCAAAATGTATTTCACATTTCTATGACATATATGACCCAATGTCTATACAGATTCATGTTTCAACGGGTCAAGTAACGGGGAATGCCAGACCTGTTTTAAGACTGTCATGGCTGGATGGCTTACCTGCCATGTTCACTCCTTGTGCATTCTCCCGTAAGTTAAAGCTAGCCAGCTAGTCATTGAGAGGAGAAGAGAAAGGTAGTTGAGCTTCTCTGCCATTGCAGGTTCATTTGTTGTGGAAAAGAGTCTTAAATTCTTTCTTTGTACTACTCCATCTTTAATAACCCTGCAGTCAGCTTCATTCTTTGTCAGAGCATTCTTGTGTTTAGTGGTTGTGAATCTACTGTGATCACTGTAATTGTGACCATGTGTGTGTTGGTGTGTAAATGTATAGTCACTGTGTCAGAGCAAATGATTAGCTATGTTGGTATCGTACAAAAATGAAGCCTTTGATTGATGTGGTTCAACAGGACGGCTTAGAGCAGGCATGTTAGTTCTTGGCAGGGTTTTTGTTTTCATTGTTACTAAGTTCATATGAATCTTGGTTTATGAACATCTTTGGGAGTGATGAGATATGTTGAGTGCATCATGTGCTGTTTTATATTAGAGGTTTTCCTTGCTATGTGATTTGAAGTTTCCCAGATAGACTGATGATGGCAAATGTAATAATTACCTTTTCTTAAACCTGTGATAAGATAGGAGTCAGTCAATCGAGTGAGTATTTATGCTGAGACATGTTTGTAAGAGGAGACATGCCGACACGCCGACAAGGTTTAAGGTAACCCATGAACACCAAGGAATCTTTGATGTGTTACTTTTAATGACAGCTGTCCTTTTCTATCGGAAAGGTATTCTTAAATGACTTCTTTCCCTGATTTCCGACTCTATCCACTATCATATCCCTTCAATAAAGGAACAAAAAGCCCAAAAAGAAATCTTAAATTAAAAAAAAAAAAAAAATGGTAGGGGAAACACTGAACAACTTGAATCTGTTAAATTTATCCACACACGCGCAGCGACACAAACACCAGGAGTACGCCTCGTGTTTTGAAAAGTTCCACTCAATATTCTGTTATTTAGGAGTTCAGCACAGAATCATCAGCTGTATCTCAGCAGAATCTCTCCCGTCTCCGCAGGAGTCGAGACAGGAGTTTTGCTGGCGCATGCACTCACTCGCGCTCTCTACTCCTCTCTCTCTCTCTCTCTCTCTCTCTCTCTCTCTCTCTCTCTCACTCTCGCAGTTTAAAAAAAAAAAAAAGAAATAAAAACAAGTCAGAAATATCCTCCCGCCCCGGTAACGTCTGTGTGAGAAACACTGTTTTATTATGAAGCATTGACCAGAGAGGGCGCGATCGGCTCTGGAGTGCGTGGCAAACAGGCATCATGTGGAAACTGACGGTTCTAATGAAATTTGGTAATAATGAGGACATTTTACTAGAACTGGGTTTAAAAAGATGGATTTTCTGATTAAAATCAATTCTCATATTAATGTTCTGATATCGATTCATAAAAGATAGATCTTTTAATAGACTATATTCCCTTTCCCCCCCATCCATTGAAATCAGTTTGTATTTGGTAAATCTGTGAGCAGGCTGTAGTGGATTCTCATTGGCCCTTACATGTCAACTGATCGTATATTCGGCCTCTGATTGGACGACAGACCAAAACAAGAGTAAAATAAGAGACTGCTTCTGTCTTAGCCGAGCGAGCTAACTGAAGTTAAACTATATTTTCTACATAAATGAATCACAGTGGTTTACATTAACTTTTACGAGGATTGGATGAGGACAGTCACTGAATAAACACTGATATTCTCAGTTGGATAGAAAAGCCTCTGAGTTTATCATTGGAAAGCCACTAACTTGACAAAGCAAGTGGAGTAAACAGTAAGCTTCTACATCGTACGATTGTATTTCTTTTAAATAATCACGTAAAGACAATATTCTGTTAGTTGTTTATGACGGTGTCAACCTCAAAGGGTTAATATATTAATATACTTGAGCCACGCTACGTGTAACCAGCATGAAAACATTTGGGTGAAGTGGCCATCACGACTGTATGCAGAGGTGAAACACAGCATTGAAAGAGAGAGTGAGAGTGAGAGAGTGTGTCACCCTAACATGTGACAGCTGGACATCCAGATCAACAGGTTCATACCTGACTGTTCTCATTATGTGGACAATGAGTGGGGACTCGCGTCACATGTTTCACAGGCTAGGCTAATTCAAATGCCTTGTGATTCATATCCTTGTGGCTTTAGAAGTACAATCATGTTACTGCTTTAGATATCCCTAAATGAATGGATATCGTATTGAATTGAATGAAATTGGGACCTTATCAGTGGTGATACCACTAGATGTTTTACTGCTTTGTTTTGCTTCTATTTTTGTTTCCATCTGCAGGATTTCAGTTGTAATGCTGCTATGTCTTCATTCTACATAGACATTATTATTGTGCGTTTTTTTGCCAAAGGTGGCAGAAAGACGATTATGAAACATACAATTATTGACCTAAAGTTTTTTTTATTAATTCTTAATTTTAATTAATTATTAATTTAGGAGTAGTTACGGTAATTGCTGAAGTTGTTTAACCAATATGCAATCCCTGCAGTCCTCCACAACACCCCTAGGGGTACTTGTACAGCTATTTGAGATCCTCGGGTGACAGAGCCAACCAGCCCTCGTGCCAGCTCCACATGCATCTAATGATCTCTGCCTGGATGATGAAGTCATGTCTTTAATTGCAGCGGCCTGTCTTTTGATGGAAACCACACATATGTCTCATTGAGTCCGTACTGTTTTGTGGGACCTGAGATTCCACTTATTAAACCATAACCTTGTTTTCATAATTCAATTTTAACATTCTGTAAAATGCTATTATTCCACTCAAGCGGCCTATTTTTGGTCTGGTCTGTAAGTTGCATATGATTCACCCGTCGTGTTGTTTTAACGAAGTGAGTCGTCAGGATGGGTAGTTTGTCTTTCCTTAGTGGCTTGAAAGGATTATGGGAATCATTCAAGGTTTCCATAAAGGTCTCAAACCCAGCGTCTCCCCAGAGTATAATTACTGCCTAATTGTAATTTTGACTTCTCTCTCAGCCATGTGGGAATGCAGTTAGCACTTTGGCTACCCCTGAGTTCCCCTCGCATGTAAACCATCCTGTGATCTGTGTGTATTACATCCAAAGCCATGATGGCAAATAAGATTCAAAGAAAGTAAAAAATAATACATTTAATGATTACATGTTTTATCGTGGCAGTAAAATTATTGCTAATAAGCAGCATGTTTTAAAGTGATGGCAGTTGTAGTTTATGATAAGCTTTTGCATTATAATGGTTTCCATGACTGGTCTTCAGTTTTCCAAAGACATTATTAACTATTATTCAAACCATATACTTGAAAGCACTTTGCTTTGGACTTTGTTTCAAAGAAACGCTGGCTGCTAGGATCTTCTTTTTGGACAGATGTCCTGTTTATGTGGCCCCTTCCTGATTCATATCCCATCCCACCAATGTGTTGTTGTCAACTTTAATCAGGGCTCTGGGCTTGTAGCTGGCAGAGGATATCATGAGGTCATACATCAGGTTATGCTGATAATACTCTCTGTGAAAGATGAGGTTCTGGAAAGAACAAGAAGTATGAAAGATAGACCAGATAAAATGTCCAAAAGTTCCAGTTTGTATTCTTTGACATTCAGTCTTTTCAACAGCTTGTCATCGAGTCTTTCATTTCGAGCTCTGGTCAGTTAAAGAAACCTCAGGGTGCATGGTGATATGATTGAGACACTCGTTTACTTTCTGTTTACTTTGTGTGAGCTTGCATGTAATGTGTTTGCATGCAAAGCACCGAGGGAGTTGTTTATAATGTGTTGTTGATATTTTTTGTGTTTCCTCAGTGGAGCAGGTTCCTGTGGAGTCCTACACCGTCCCTCTCTCGCAGGCTGAGGTCCTACAGGAAGGAAGTGATGTCACACTGGTTGCCTGGGGGACACAGGTAGGTGATCCAGTGAATCATTAACAGACTCTTAGTGGGCGACCTGAGCAGTCCTCATCTATGTTTGGATCATTTTCCATGGCCACAGGAAAAAAAAAAAGTCCTCTCCACTAAATGACGTTTAAAGCCACAGACGCAAGCAGTGGATTAACTTTAAATCTGACACAAGCCCCCTTTGGTCCCAGCAGGGTCGCTCAGCCGGCAGCCTGTGTCTCTATCTGCTCAGACATCTCCACAACATCCAGGCTGCTCTCGGCTCTCCATGTGTTAACACTAAATATCTGCTGCACACTTTCCATTGTTGCCTCTCTATTCATCCGTGAGATTTTATTTTCTGCAGCTCAGTATCAAAGTGCATGTAACTCACCAGGAGTCATCCCCAGCTTTGATTGTACACAGCCACTTTAACAGGCTTATCTAGGCCATAATGTACCTGCAGCACTGGAGGGGGGTCTGAGGGTCTTGATGGAAAAACGGCTCCATTAAGGCCAGTATTACTCTTGAAGGGTGGACAGAGGAGCCAGTGAATTTGGGGAAAATGGATCTCTCCCTTTCAAACTGCAGGTTTATTTCTGCCCTACTCTGCTCTATGCAATCTCAAACAGATTACAACGTCTCATATTTTGGGGCTTCAGCTATCAGTCCACAAAACTCAAAGTGTATAGTGAGATAATCAGACTGAGAGGTGTGTTAGAGTTGAGAGACATTATCTAAAACTGGCTTTTTATCTGCACTCTCACAGATGTAGATTAAACAAACAGCAACATAAACAAAAAGAAAAGTAATTGTCTGATGATTTGGAATGGGTTGAGGGATATTTTTTTGGAGAAGCATTCCACCTCCTTTGCTTATCACAGCCGTCTTCAGACAGTTGTGCTGCAAACAAACAAAGCTTAAAATGTGATTGGTAAAGTCTACAGGTACTGCAAATGCCAACTAGAAATCTTTTTACACCAAATATCTTTCCCTCATTCCCTCACATTTTACCTCCATAGCATTTATTTCAAGAGATAAGAGTAAAGAAAAATAAATAATGCCCAGTTTTCACTTCCTAAACATCCATTCAGACTTAACGGTACCTTGTATGTTTTCCTTCCTCAGAGGTAACCCCCACTCTCTTTTTTAAATGGGAACATCAATCTATCATAGATGCTGGGGGCTAAGGCCCGTCACATTCTAACCTCCAATCTGACTTCATGTTGTGATGATTCAGATTCAGGGGTGGGTGATACACAACACATCTGAAGTCTTTGGCCAGAACTAGATGGCTTGTTTTTCTGACAATTATTACCAGTGGCAGTTACTGAGTGTCTGCAAGTGATATGACAATTCATGTTTTTTATTGTTGATCACCTCAGAACTTGTTGTGTAAGTTTCCCAGAATGAAAATACATATAATGCACAACATGCAGTATGTAGGAAAGAATGACTGTTATATTAGGTATTGCATTCTAGCACTCTTTACATTTCAAGAGCTCATGATTTAAAGTCATTTTTCATTTTCTTTTTCATTTTTACTGATATATCTATCTGTCTCTTTAGGTCCATGTGATGAGGGAGGTGGCCAATATGGCTCAAGAGAAACTGGGAGTGTCCTGCGAGCTCATCGATCTGCAGACCATCCTACCCTGGGATGTGGAAACCGTTTGTAAGGTAACAGAGACACACGTGAACAATGAAAAACACAACAGCTGGAGATAAAAACTACATCCAAAGAAATGAAAAACTCTCCCACTCATACGCATGCTACTTCTTTCTGATGCGCATGTAAAGTCCTGCTGAATACGTTTTTTTAATGTCTTATTTTATCTTTGGTGGCAGAGTTCATGGCCATTTTTGCATTTCCAGAATAAAAAAATCTTCAGTTAATAATTTAGCGTTATTGATTTCACCATTGAAGAACTCTTTTACACTGTGATCACACCTAATCCTGCTGTGATTGTGTTTATTGTTGTTGAGAGAAAATGTGCCTCTCTGCACTGTGGGTTTCTTTGGTGCTGGATAAACACAATTCCTTCCACAACTGGTAAGGCTTGATACATAATTTGTTTTTGCCTCAGCCTCATGTAGGCTACAGTGCTCTCCAAAATGTAATATGTGTTTGGAACAGCTCTGAGAAAGGAAATCCTTTGCAGTGGGTACTCCATATTTATTTGTTTTGAAACGGGAGAAGGATCACGCAAGGAACGGTTTGGGAAGTAGTGCAGTGCAAAGAGTCTGTCCTGGTGACCACTGGCAAGTATCAGTAGATTGAATGATGTATGTGCATCCTCCATGTTTTTCAATGGCCCTTGCAAAAAAAAAAAAAACAAGTTCTGTCTTCTTGTCTGAACTTTGTCTTGTTTTTTTTGTTGCAGGATAGCCAAATGCATTTTTAATTTGACACATTTATTGTCCTTTTTTTTAATGCTTCTCTGGTAAGATATTTAACTTTGTCAGCAAGCACCACACGTCTCCTGCTGCCAAGCAAATCTTTGAACCAACAGTTGAGTCATGGGACAAAACTGTGGTATGAGGGTAGTAATTTAATAGGAAGTCAATTGGAACTGATGGCATAGACTGAAGTAATGTGCAACCGCTGAAGGACTCACAACTCCAGTTGAGCTGAAGTCAGTAACTCTTCGATCAAAGAGGGGACTTCTCACGTGACTCTTTGTTTTTTGCTAAATAATTGCCCCATCAAAACAACTACAGGGAAACTTAATCGTGTTTTTACACTTCTTGGTGGACCTGATGCCAACACTGAGACTTTGCAGACTTCAGGCTTGATATCAACATCTCTCCTGGTCATTTCTTGTATTTCTGTACATTTATAAAGAACGATCAACCCATACATAAACACACACACATCCTGTTCCTTTCATATTTCAAATTCAGCAGTAAAGTCATTGAGGCATTAAACTGATACACTGGTACCCTACAGTATTCATTTTCTGACATTGCCCCCCCTTTATTCTGACATGTTCTGCTAACGTCGCTTTTTAATAAAGCTATTAATAAATGTCATTTTATTGTACATTTTAATTAATCCAATTCATGCATCAGTCTGAATCAAAGGTTATTCTGGTCTTACAGTGTTCAGACATGTCAACAGTACTAGTTCAAGCTTTTTAATCAGTACTGGTTTGTAATGTTCACACCTCTGCTAACACTCAGCATCAATACAGTATCTGTGTTTCCTTTATGCATTACACATTTTAAAATACCGCTGTGATGACCTCTGGAGGAGTTTGCAATGTTCATTGAAACTCTTGGCATGAACGTCTCTGTTTCTGCTTCCTCTTTAGCATCAATCAATAGTTCAGAAGTATTTCAACTTGCAGTAGACAGCTTTGATTTGCATTCTTTTTTATATTATAAAAATAGTTCCATGTATAAATGTTGAAATAGGAAGATATTTCAGGATTTAAAAATATGTTTTTTAGATATTTTTCGCTGACTTTAATAGATCGATCGATAGATACTTTATTGATCTTGAGGTAAATTCAAGATAAAGACGATACAGAAACATTGTGTATGGTAGCTTTATTTCAAACGCTTCTTCTCCGTTCACTCTTTCCACCGTCCGCATCACGCAGGAATCAGCTAGTGGCTGCGTGACTGCGTGACAGCCTGCGTACATGACAGCCTGCTGTAGTCTGTTGCTGTCAACTTTTAGCACACTGTGTTTCCATTTGAGCAGCCGACACGCATACAACGATGTTTGCCTTTTTTTGTTTACCGTTATTTTTCCCTTGTCATTATACTCAATGCTGAAACCGAAACATCCCCACATGACTGATTTGAAAGACGGCCGTGTTTACTCAGCAGCCTTTTATTCTTATTTATAAAGTTCTGTTGGAACTTAAAGTAACTTGTGATATGGAGGGAGAAGCAAAGATGCTAAAGGGGGCTCGATTGTGCTTAGGTCCCCCCAGTGCAATATCAAGCCACCCACTTGGCCCCGCCCACCTTAAAGATGCAAAACAATTTAACAGTCTAGATGCTAATTCAGGGAAACATAGTTCTCTGTTTTTTCACGTTTACAGCAACTTATATCCAACATATTTAGTGTGTTTACAGACCATGCCCCGATTTCTCTTTACACAGACTTTTCACTTAAAGGGATACTTGACCTGTTGAAACATGGATCTGTATTGACATTGGGTCATATATGTAATAGAAATGTGAAATACATTTTGAAGTTGGTGCCTTCTTGCCCGAGAAAAGGCAGAAAGTGTCTTTTTGGCTCATGTGGATGAAAGACACCAAATCCCAGAATGCACAGCACCGCAGGCCACTCCCACTAAGGTCCTCTATTTCAGAATCAGAATCAGAAATACTTTATTAATGCCAGAGGGAAATTCAATCGATACAGTTTCTCCAAAATATACAATATAGCAGTAGAAATATATTAATAAAAACATTTACAGACATATTTACTTCACACAAGGCCATTTCCTCAACTGATTCTGAGATTTCTTCCAGAAGGAATTGTCATCTTGGAAATTCCTGTCAGAAAACAGACTCTATGTCTGTGTCCATAGGCAAACAGTGAGAGCACCACACCACCAGTCCGCCCCAGCTCGAGCCGGCCCCGGCTCCTCGTCCTCACTGCTGCAGACAGGCCGGTCTTATGTCTCAGCTGCTGAGCTGGCAGCGGCCGGCGGTGGCCACAGCAGCCAAGACACAAGACCGGCCTGTCTGCAGCAGCCATCTCATCGCTGTATTTATATTTTTCCACCATTGTCAGCTTTCTCCATAGAGCCTGTTAGCATAGCTTCCAAGCAATATGGCGGACGTTATGTTTAGATTCTGGGAGTGAGGTCCCACCCACTGATCTGTGATTGGTCTGTAGCTTCAGTGGTCGAAAATATGAGGAACTAGCGTTGTAGTTTCACCCCGCTAACCACAACAGCTTCCAGTGACGCAATATGACAATTCTTGCGTCACTAGAAGCCCCTTTACAGACTTAGAAATACAAAGATTTCACATCTCAGGGGAAAATGAGGGCGGGATGCACGACCATTCAAAAATACTACCAGGTTTCTAATGATACAAAGATTAATGCAAATGGGTGAAGAATCCCTTTAAGCTTTACATAATTATGCATAAATAACAAAAACTGAGGATACCAGAAAATAACGTAATATCCAGAACCTAGATTTTAATTTTGTCATTCAATAAGATCTTTCATTAGCTCTGAGAGATGTTGTGATTCAAAAACCTCAATATAGCTGACATGTTTCCTCTTCATAGAGAAACAATAAAGCCTTTAAAATACCTTATCTTCTTATGAATACATTCTTTGGACCAGTTCTATTCTTAGCCAAAGAGAGGGAGTAGCCCAGACCCTATGTCAGCTTCTTAACTCAAAAGATTGTTCACCTGCTGTCACACACACACACACACACACACACACACACACACACACACACACACACACACACACACACACACACACACACACACACACACACACACACAGAACACACACACCTCAGTAAAGCCGGCCTTTTGTACCGCTTATTAACTGGCCATCAGATGCGGTGAGTGTGCAGACAAAGAGATAGGCTCCAGACACACATCCGGCTGCTGGCAGCCAATTAAAATTCTTGTGAGTCACCTTTACCGTGCGTATCTTTCATACAAGGTTGTGCACACGTGTGTGTGTGTGTGTGTGTGTGTTATGTGGCTAGCACATTTATATGCAGCCTGCATGTTGTTTTTGAATGAAGATGTATATAATATATGTGGAATGATGTGCATTTAAGCATGAGCGATTATTAAGGCAGTGTCCTGGAAGAACATGCCATCTTCTGTTTCCTGAGGGATCTCTTCTGGCAGCCACCAGCTATACTTGGATCTAAATGTATTCAACAGTGTCTTTGACAAAGGAAATCATGGGTGGAAATTGCCCTGAATATAGAGAATATGTGTATTTTGTTTTATCCTGCTGTCTACAGCGGTCCAGTAAATGTAACAGTTGATCTTTAAGGGATAAACAAAATGGCTGGTTTACCTCTGCCAGACCAACGAATGAGATGATATGCTGTGGGAAGTTGTGCAATGGTCAGAACACATGTGGAGATGTTGTTGTGTAAGATGCTCATTTAGGGAGCACAAGCTGCAAAAGAGCTTTTTTGATTCCTCATTAAGTGGTCTGCTTTCACCCCCTGTTGTTTGGGCTTCTGAACACATATAAAAGCCAGCAGTCAGCAATCCATCCTGTCCAGTCTTTTATCAATCTACATTTGTTTTCGATGGCTGTGACTTTGCCATTTGACTCCCATTATTCTGTTAGTCCGTAACTGCTGATTCAGCCCTCATTCTCAAGTTTTTGGATCTGGCCTGGCACAAATCGGAGTGGCTCACCAAGACCAGTCCTTGAAACAGTAATTGTTTCTTAAACCACTTCTCACAGCATCACACGTGGTGCCTGTGTGGTTGGGCAGCAGCTCTTGCACCAGAGAGACATTGAGGACCTCTTAAGGTTCTCTTTGATGAAAGCAGGTTGGGCTTTGGAAAACCAGTCGGCTGATGTTAAAAGATGCATTTTCAGAACTTAGTAAAGCCCCACAAAACGGCTCCAGAGTCGATGTGCTTAATACAAACGAAAGTAAACAATGTAGTGAAAAATGATGCATTCCCATTTTGTGTTTTACCCAAGATGT